AAATTGCTCTTGCTCAACCAATAAGGTCGATCGCGCAAAACAACTGCAGTTTGGAACCCCAACAAAGTGATGAATGAAAAAAGTAAGAAAAAGGGGTTCCAACGAATGAAACGAAAGGGAAAGAGCTGCTGATACGAAGAGAACATAGTTGTTGTGTTGTGAGAATTCTTCATCCATGAATTGTTTATCTTAGGTCCACTAATTGGCATGATCCTCACTTGAGTATAGTACTCGCATTGAGAGAAATAGGGGATATCTAACAAGACTGGTTGACCTCGTAAACTGCTAAATGATCTAGAAAAACCTTTATCGACACGATCAAATTTGCATGTTGTTGTAAAGGTCTAGAGAGCTGCATTGGTTTATGTGAGGTTTGCTTGGGGACAAACAAACGGTTAAGTGTGGGGGGATTTGATAACACTGTATTTACACATGTTTTTTCTGACATTTATTGATCGTTTGGCTTGGCATTTGATTGCTTTATGGCCTATTTTACGCTAGGTAGTGCTGTTGATGACGTTTTAAGTCCTAGTATGTGAATGGATAATGAGGAGCAAGTTCAGGTGCAAGTAAAGAGCCAACGTGACTCGGAGGACAAAACAGCCAAATCCACGGTCTGGGAGTCCAAATATACGACCATGGATTCAATATTTGGACCGTGGATTATGACCAGGGTTATTCCCCAGTCTGGTGTCTGTTTTCCACGACCAAGGATTTATCTAGGCGACCATGGATTTTGCTACGAGGACCACTTAAGGATACACGTCGTTTTGGACATCCACAGTCTGGATGCCATTTCCACGACCATGAATTCCGACCGTGGATTTCAGCCACGAGTGTTCTAAGGATGAAACTCGGGATTTTGGCCACACATCTGGTTTTATAAGTTTTGAAACAGCTAGAGAGAACCCTAGAGAGAGAAAGTGATAAAGAACAAACTTGGAAAAGGATTGGAGCGATCTAAGGACATTGGAGCTCGATCTTTCACCCTCGAAGTGTCGAATCCCAACTTGGAGCAGATTATCATCCCTCACATGATGATTTATCTTTCAAGCCTTGTGTCTTCTCTTCTCTCCATGGAGTAAATTCTCTATACATATGGGTATGAAGAACCTAGTCGTGTATGTTAGGAATGAGTGTATGAACCCGATTTCTTGGATGATTGACTTGATATATTCAATTGAGGCCTTGTTCAGAATTGCATGAGTCCTGATCAAATTCTTGTGATTTCTGCTTTAATCTAGAATGATAGTCTTTGCATAGGTTAATATAGCAACCTTAATTGGAAGTAGTGAATCGATTACTTTAGTCGAGGAATCGATTCACTGTTATGTAGTGGAATTGAAACTAGTTGTGGAAGTATGATTTGTTAGTGCCTTGGTTAGCTTATGTCGTTGGAAGTTAGTCGCCCGCCAGGTATTCAAACTGAGAGGGTCTTTAATTCTTTAGTTGAGATTCCAGACTTGTCAAGAACTTAACACAGTATATCTGTCAATTAAAATGAACTTGGGAAATTACAATATGAACTAAGTGTCAATTAAAGCTTGCAAGCCTCTGTTAGACAAGATTACAACACATGATTCATAGCTGGAAAACTAAATTTCTTAGTTATGCGGGTACAAAAACAACTAGTTGTCTTTGTCTAGGCTAGCCTGACTCAATTTAGGATGGATGTTATTGTTCTTCCTAAAAATGTTATTAAAGAGATAGAGAAGTTATGTAGTAATTTTTTGTGTTGGCTCGGTGGAAAGAAACGAGCAACAGTTGCGTGGCAGCTCCTAACCTTTCAAAAAAGGAAGGAGGGCTAGGTCTTAGAAACCTTGACATTTGCAACTTATCTTGTGTGATTCTGTATATCTGCTTATCCTCCTTCAACAGGGATGTTTATGAGTTGCATGATTGCGGGAATATAGATTAAAAAATCAAGACTTTTGGACTTACAGTTCGAAAGCTGGTTTTCGGCTTTGGCTGAAATTGCTCAAGAGCATAAAGAAAAGTTCGGAAAAAGATGACCATGTTGAATGGGGACTGGGGAGATCTCCTGGAATGGGAAGGAGATGAAGAAATTCAGTAATAAAAAGTACGGGAGGACTTTAGGCTAAGGGAATTAACTATTACTTGGTATTCTCTCGTTTGGAAGAGGCCCTCTATTCCCAAGAATTAGTTCTTAGTTTGGTTAGTGGTTAGAAACCATATATCTACCTGTGATAAGATGACTAGCCCGGGAGGAGTAGGACCCTACTCATGTGTCTTTTGTGATTGTAATATGGAGACCATAACTCATCTGTTTGCATAATGTTCTATGTTTAAAAGTCTATTTGCAGGTTTTATGGCTCCAGCTTTTCCCAGAATTCATTTTAATGTCTGGGAAGTGGAGCTATAGTGGGTTTTTTGGCTCGGCGTCCAACATGAACCGCTGCTCCAAGTGCTACTGGAAATTGCCATAATACAGTTGGTCCTTTATAGAGGTGAGCATTGGGTGGTCGAACCCACCAATCCACCCAAAACCACCCACAAATGACCCACCCATTAGGTTGTGGGTGATTCATATGGGTGGGTGCGAGTTCTAAAATATGTGACCCACAAAGGTTTGGCTGGGTGCAGGTGTAAATTTTGGAATATATGTTATAAACACCGAATCCAACCAACCGCACACCATCCGCAATCAGCCAACCCAACCCACCCACAAGTACACGTTGGGTGGGTGTGGGTCATTGTCTTCTTCATCTACCATGTAATGGGTGGATCCAAATCCACCCAAATCCGCATAAACCCACCCACTTCTCCCCCCAGTCCTTTACGTTGGATGTTACACCACTCTCTAACATGCACCCTCAAGCGAAAGCCAACCATGGGCTTTGAGTTTGCATAGGCCCAACATACCTTGTGCTTTAATCAACTGTTAATATTGGGGGTCGTGGAGATTCAACACACGACCACTTGGCCTAACCAGCTTTGGTAACATGTCATAAACCAGTTGATCCCAATAGCTCGAGTTGTTGGGAAAAGGTTATGTTGGATCTTATACCACTCTCTAACAGAAATATGGGTCTCCGAGGAGCAGGCGGCGTCGGCTAACGCCGCCATGGAGAAGACCCTCAGCTTCAAATCGAAGATGCCCATGTCGAAAGCTGAACCGATAGTGGCAGACATCAAATTTGCAATGACGGCGGCGGAGCATGTGCTTGCTCTAGAAAAATCATCGGCAGCAGCGGTGGGTCCGTCATCGTCGGGGTTGTGGTTGCGGTGGCAGTGGAGGTGGTTGAGGCGGCGAATAGGTGCTTCTCCACCCCCACCTCTCGCTCCCTATTTTAACTTTTAAATACTTAGTTCGTTGCTGCCCCTACAAATTACTTTCGCAGTTCCAATCCGCCGATCGCCACTGATTGGTGGATGAGTTCTTCTGGATAGGGTCGGCGTTCTCAGAGCTTCAAGAAATCTAGGTATCGAATTGAGTTTGTGGTGGTGGAGAAAAAGAAGAAGTAAAAAAGAAGCATATGGTTAATCATCAACCACCCCCTCCTTCTTCTTCAGCGGCGACGACGAACTTTAGCGATGGCAACAACAGCAGAGATCTGTACCTCAAAAACTCAATAAGCTCTCTCGCAATATCTCCAAACCCACCATCCCAATTCCCAAAGAAGCCTTTCGATCAACCACCCAACAATTATAATAACAACTTGAATCCTCCCCCTGTCTCCTACCAACCCCAACCCCAGAGCCAGAACCAGTCGCTGGTCTACAACATCAACAAGAGCGATTTCCATCTGGGAGTGATCGGAGAAAGGTAGGGGAAGAGCTACAAATGACGGTGAGGGGTGGTTAGGGATGATTCCATTAGATAATTAGGTTTTATTTTTCAGTTTTTAATAATTTTGATAATGATGTGGAAAACTAAAATATAACTATTTTTTTATTTGTCACGCCACTTATTTAACGGTCAACTATTAGAGTTGACTGCTACTTCAAAATTTAACGGAGAATAACAGAAAGTAATTAAAGTTGAATCTACCACGTTAGAAAAATTTAAGAGAGAAATCACGGAAAGTCAAAGTCAAACTGTTGAACTAATTTAATTGACTACGGATGAAATAAATTAATTTTATAGTTGCAAACGTAAACTTTTTAAGTAATTCGAGTAGGGCTGAAAATTACCCTGACCCGCCCTTGACCCTGCCCTGACCCTATCTGACCCGCCCCTGAAGGGTCAAGATGTATAACTGACCTGACCAGCCCATGTTTCCTTCTTGACCCTGTCTGACCCTCTAGGGTCGGGGGGGGGGGGGGGGGGGGGGTCAGTGGGTCGACCCTTATCAACACACTAATTTTTAATAAATTACGTTTTGGTACCCAAAATTATTTTTTCTTACAATTTATTACCTAAAATTTGTTTTTTACAAATAAGTCCTTAAAATTTGGTGGTAAAATTAAGTTTTGATACTCGAATTTATTTATTTTTACAATTTAGTATCTAAACTTTCAAAATTTTACAAACAAGTCCAATATATTTGTATGTGGAATTTCATATCTAAGGGTCATATGGCCAAAAAATGACTTGACCCTGAACTGACCCGATTCCCCCTAACCCTTACAGGATTAAAAGATGACATGATCCTAAACCGACCCTATAGATAAATCGACCCACCCCAACTCTGAGAATTCGGACGGGTTGGGCAGGTCAATGGGTTCTTAGGATCAAGTTTACACCCCTAAATTCGAGTGACCAAATGGTTGAGCCCCGATTCGCAGTCACGCGCCTTTCTCTCCTGCTCGTTCGCCAGCATCACTCAGAGACTCACTCACTAACAAGCTTGGCAGCTAGCTACCTTGTGTGCCGTTCAAGCCACGGAAGATTACTTTGCAGACAACGATCATCCACAAAATCCCCGTCGCGTCAGCTCTCTACCCATCCCCACTTTCCACTTTTCTTCTTCTGCATCCCGGGGTTGGAAAAAGAACGAGGCTTCTCGTCTTCTTTACATCATCTGCACGCCATCGCCATGGGCCAAATCCTCGACAGATTCCATGGTATTTCCTTTTCTCTCCCCCACAATCTCAACTTTTCTGCTTACTTTCATTTGATTAATTCTCGCCCACGAACCTTCCCCGGTTGTGGCCTAGTTTCCCCCTTTCAGTCTGGGGTTTCCCCGGTTTCTGAATCTGTGCTCGTTGCAGTGGGAACCCGAGATTTTCTTAGGGTTCGTCATTGGATTTTGTGTGTGTATATGTGGGGAAATCTTAAAATTCGATCTGTGGAAGGTCAATTGATTGTATGAGAATTGATAAGCTGACAACAATGGAATCGAACTGGGTTCAATGTTACTGCAGGTAAAGAGTGGAAGAAGAAGCAAGTAAAGTTGATAACAGACAGGGTTTATGATCGAATTTGTAATCAAACAGGACGGCCTACTCTCACTTTCGACGATCTGTATATTGCCGTGCTACTCGTGTTCAAGTAAAGGGATTGAGTTGATCCTTACTTTGGTAAACTCTCAAAGTATTCTCAACTTGTTTCACTAATTTGTTCTGCTTTTGTTTTCCAGTGACATTAACAAGCACTTGCCAGGCCCCCATTTCGATCCGCCCTCCAAAGAGCACATCCTAGATATCATGAAGGTATTCTGATCGTCTTCTTATGTAAAAACCTCTGATTTGATTGCTACCATCAATTTAAAGTGCTACTTAGGTAAATACATAGTCGGTGTTCTGTTTGATAGACCTAGATTCATAACCTAGAGGAACAACAAACTGCCTTTCAAGTTTAGACCAAAGAAGGTTAGCTGTGGTAGTGGAGGTGTTGTGCCTGCAATACCAGGTTCAACACCTTCCTCGGCCTCTTGTTGTAAGGTTGACCGAATTGGGTTTGCGTAGTCGGTTTCTCGGCTACTTATTCCAGGATTGGTCAAGAGTTTTAGACATTCGTCGGGATCCTTCGTCTTATGAGACATTCTTTAGATTGGTTTAGACTCTTGCATTTTTGTTGTCATACAAATGACATGTCTTTCGATGTTTTTTTTATCACAAACCCAGGAATGTGATATCAACCTGGATGGTGGGCTTGATCGTGAAGAATTTGCCAAGTTCATCCAGAAGCTAACAGCAGAGACATTTGTGGTGATCAGCCAGGGACTTCTGCTCACTTTGGTTGTGGCACCAACTCTTGCAATGGCAACCAAGCGAGCCACGGAAGGCGTTCCACACGTTGGTAAAGTGGTGCAGAAGGTTCCGAATTCGATATTTGCATCGCTGGTGACCCTTGCTGTCGTATGGATTCAACAGTCTCAGCAGGAAGCCCTGTAGTTAGATTTGCCCCCTGATGATGAACGATCACTAAGTTCGGTTTAGTTTCCCCTGTAGCTGCAATAATTTGCTATCCTGATACGAAACTGTAATTGTAAACCTGTATAAAGGGCAATCTGCTGTTTGTTAATACTTAGCAATGCCATATCTTTCATTAGTTAACAAGAATAAACACAATTAACGAATCAATGAATCAGTCAGTCTGCACTCTGCAGTACATCATCTTCCTTAACAGCAGAAAGACTACTAAAAACAGTGAACAACAATGTGTTGTGGAACATATAATTACACAGCAACTTGAAGGGTTTTTGGTCCTTACGAAACCAACTTCAGACCCAAATTTCAATCCATTGGCCGCATAGAGAGCAAGAATCTGCGGGAGTACTGAATCACTCGATGGTTCCCAGCAGTGGTAGTAGCAGACGCTTCCTCCGCAATCCTCCGCCTCTTCCTCGAATACTCCTCCTCGTGACGCCGTTCCTCATGATCGAAATTCCTCTTGCGGCCGCCGTAACACCCATCTTCAGACCGATCACAGTAACGCCCCCGGTCGTGATCGAAGTTCCTCTTCCGGCCACCGTAATACCCATCTTTAGATCGGCCACCGTGATACCTATCGTGATGCTCATAATCTCTCTTCCAATCGCGGTGATACCAATCTTCCGACCGGCGCCGTCGCTGGTAGTAATCATCCGCCCCCTCAGCCCTTCTTCCCCCACCGCCTGTTACAACGCAGCTCTCCTCTTTCCTCGGCAGAGCGGCGCCTCTCCCGCTCTCTTCACTAGCAAACCCTAGAACCCGATCGCCTTCGACTTTCTTCTTCTCCTCTAACGAAGACTCCCTCGGCTTGTCTCTCGCTCCTCCCACTGCTGCTTCCTCCGCGGAAGAGTTCTTCGGCCGCCGCAGTTTGACCTCAATATTGACCCGACCTCCTCGATCGACATCATCATCGCACCGATTGGACTTGCTAACAACGATCTCCGCAGAGATTTCTTCCCCGTTCCGAGCGGGTTGCAGCTGACGCGGTGCCACCGCTGGAGCAGAAGACAACTCCTTATTCTCCAGATCGAACTTCTTCAGAATCTGGCCTCTTAGGGCTTCGAGCTCGTCCGGCCAGCGGGAACCGGCGACGGCAATGGCGGAGTCGATGATGTCGAACAAGCCGTCTTTGGTTCTGAACAAGAGCCCATAGCTCCCCATTGCGAAGGTAGGGAGCGCCATTGGTGAGTATCGGAAAGAGCGATTTAAGCAAGTAGATCGATCGGCGGCAGAGAATTGAGTGAACTGAAATTGGTTATGGAAACTCGGAGTTCGATCATATTTATAGGATGAATAATCGTTAACACGGCCAAACGGCATCCTTATCCTACAAGGATTTGCATTCTCGCATAATTTACCCTAACCTAATCCTAATTGGAAAAGGATTTCCGCCATTGTTGTGGAAAAGGAAAAAAAAAAAAAAAAAAAAGAGGAACAGATTGGATTTAACGCGGCCCAAACTAGCCCAGAATGATGGGATCGTTGGGATCGGTGCCTTGGCCGTTGCCAATCGCCGGAAGCACCTCCCGTGACGTGGAAGCCCGCCGCCCTCCAACGCGGCCGGCGACGTTCCCCCTGAGAATCTGAACGGCGAACTTGACTTTGGTTCCCCTGCTCCCGCGGTCCAGCACTTCAAACACGCAGGCGTCGCCAACGCGGATGCGGTTGTCGTCCACGAATTTGGGCCAGCCGTCCTGAATCCGCTTGAAGTACCAGTTGCCCTGGTACGTCATCCGCCACCATTTCCCGCCGCAGGCCACCGAGACCTGCACGGCGGAGCAGGGGAGCAGGTCGGAGATTTTCTTGGGGACCACCACTGCTCTCTTTCCCCCTTCCGTCACGACGAAGTGGAAGTAAGGGTTTCCGACGATCGGCCGGATCTCCCGCCCACCGCCCTCCTCCGCCATCCCGAAGGGTGTGGTTTTTGAGTGAGAAAAGGAAAACAGAGTGAAGAGAGCGAGAGAGAGAGAGCTGGGATTGGAACAAGAAGTGTGAAGCGAGATGTTAAGACGGGAGGAAAGAAGTGACCATTGCTGTTTCCAGCAAAAGTTCCATTTCAGTTTCAGGGGTTTTTTCGGGGTAAGATTCGTTTTAGCCATTTCAGAGAAACAAACAAGTATAGCTTGCATCTCCACTGTTTCTCTGTCACAGTGTCACTATTGCTCGTCTACCATGGATGCCATTGCCAGGAAACTTCTTGGAAAGTCACCACTCACCGATGGGAAAAAAAATATTTATTTTTGCAGAAAACTTTAGCAGTTCGTCGTTTTAACTTAAATCACAATATGCAATCCGAGAACCAAGCTAAGTTCCACTAGTCTAATCAACAAAGGAGTTCTAACCACTTATATTGAAGGAAACACACATGATCACAAGATTAAAGATAAAACTGTGCTGGTGCGTCGTCTTCAAGATATGGAGATGGAGTTGTCCTCTCCTTCTCCTTCCTGTGGTTGCCAAACAAAAAAATCAAGGTATGTAACTTTGAGTCTTTCATAAATCAAGCCCATGTCCTCACCTTCCTTATCAATATGGGCTTGAAGGGTGAAATAGCATCTGGGCTTCTCTACAGAGTACAGACCATGACGATCTGAACCCGCCACGAGTTTGTTTGACTCGTAACTCGTTGCTTTCTTCTGTCATCGATCCTTCCTTCTCTCCTTCTCGAGTGTACCCGAGCTTGGAAGCCGTACAAAATATTATTGGAGGCTGTAAATTGCATAGATGAACAACTAGAGAGTCAAACCCGTAGTCGTAGTGTAGTGAAATGACTAAGAATGCATCAAAATAGTTTACTAAAAAAGAATATGATAAACCTGTGTCATCAGTTACCCAATTGTCAAACCAGTTCATATGTGAGTATGGTTGGGTTATTTTTTCTTCCATAAATATTTCTCTTCGTTTGATGATTTGTTTGGTCATTCAATGAAGTCATTGAAGTGTCTTTCATAAATCAAATTGAACTCTGAAATTAATTGATTCAATTCACTATTACAAGTCAAAAATAAATAAAAACCAAAAACAATATATATATTAAGTAAAGTAATAACTTAAGGAGACGAGTCTATTTCTTTCGTTGAATTTGTTGATTAAATCGTCCCCAGAGATTTTTATTTCATGCTCAATGACAGTGATCTACTAATCAACATCTACTTACTGATCACTGATCTTGATATTCATGATTGTTACATATGATATATTATTCATCAATTTAAGATGCAGGCTTTAACAATTAAAATGAAGTATCATTCTAAGAAAATAACAAATAAACTTTTTTTTTGTTTCATTAAATCAAACTTCGGGTTGGGGTTTAGAAAATCGGTGTATGGGGTTTATCCATTAGAGGTTAGGGTATAGTATCATACCCCAAACTCGATTTAATTCATGGTCTAGATAGAGATATCTCACTAGTAGTACATGGCGTATAGTATATGGCTGACGTATGTCAGTCTGGTGCCTTCTACGGTACCCTGGGTGAAATCCGGGGTACCGCATACCTTGAGTATGAAAACGCTATCTAGACCTCGAATTAGCAGGATTTGTGGGCATGATATTATACCCTTACCCTTAATGAGTGAACCCTATGTCTTAATTATCTAAATCATAAACTATAAACCCTAAGATGGTGCATTGATTTTTTTGCCTATATTTGGACGAATCATAACCGTCGATTATTGTTTCTAATTAAATTGATCTTGGGTATAAGATTTAGAGAATTAAGACCTAGATTTTGATTTTTAAGGGTTAGAGTATAGTATCATGTCTGAAAGATCAGTCAATTCAAGTTCTGGATAGCGTTTTCATACTCAAGGTATGTGGTGCCCCAGATTTCACCCTGGGTACCGTAGAACTCGCTATATATATGGTGACGTCTTTAGTGCACTCACTTTTTTTTTTGTGCATTCAGTGCACTCCGCTTCATAACCGTCATTTTAAACATGCGCTTTATGTCAAAATGATGTCAATTATCACTTATGTTGTGATGAACAATAACGCACATGAATTTGCACAAAAAACATTAAATATTTACTTTAAATTGAAGGACTTAGAGTTTAGAGATTTAGCGTTAGGGTTTACAATTTGGGATTTAGGGATAGAACTCAAAATTGGAGGTCTAGGACTTAGGGTAATCCGCTAATTAGTTGTTATCATATATTATATCATCATATTACACTAATTCAATAAATTAAAATTCAAAATCCGACACTTTAAGACTAGTTTTTGAGTTGGGTGCATTGAACACACTCATTTTTGTGAGTGCACCGAAGTAGTCATCATATATATATATATATATAGGTATGATAGAATTTATATATATATATAAATTCTATCATACCTTGAGTAAAATCAAAGGTAAGACATATCCTAAATAGAAAAATGATATCTACATTGTGAATTGACCGGCGTTTGGGACATGGTATTGTATCCTAACTGTTAAAGATTAAAATCTAGGTTTTAATTCTATAAATCTCTCACACTAAGATCATTTATTTAGAAACAATGATTGACGGTCACAATTCGTCGAAATACATCCAAAAATTATATTCACCATCTTAGTGTTTAAACTCTATGATTTGGATAATTAAGAACAAGAGTTCACTCATGAAGGATTAGAGTATAGTATCAAATGACAAATTCTTGTTAATTTGAGTTCTATATAGCATTTTCTTATCAAAAGTGTGTAGTACCTTTGATTTTACTCAATTTACTATAGAATACAATATATATGCGCTTTTGTTTTTAGTGTAGTCACTTTTTTGTGTGCATTCTATGCACTCGCTCATAATCTTTAACATGAGCAGGCAATTCATGTAAAAATGATGGCAATCGTCACTTGTGGAATGATGGACAAGAAAACACATGAATTTGTACAAAAATATTTCAAGATTTACTTTAATTTGAATGATTTCGGATTTAGGAATTTAGGTTTAGGGTTTAGGTTTACAATTTGGGGTTTTGGGTTGACATTCAAAACTGAAGGTTAAAGGGTTAGAGTAATGGATTGATTAGTTGTAATTATATGTTATATCATCATATTCGACTAATGCTACCAATTAAAATTCAAAATATTGTGTCCACTTTTAGAATTTAATGCATTGAATGCACCAAAAAAGTGAGTGTAACGAAATAGCGACCTATTACATCACCAATCTTTTATACAAGTACATAAATAATTTAGTTTGCATAGTAGACCGTTAATACGATATGTAGTAGACAACACCCCGTTGGGGAGGGTTCCAAGTGGCAGATCGAAGAAGATGGTCTATTCTGTGTTATTCAAAGAGTAGAAGAAGAAGAAGAAGAAGAAGAATATTCCACGGACAAGAATGGCCACACAAACGACACATTAGTTTACAAAACTGAAGAAGGCGGCCGGTCGAGAAGTTGATCAATTAATCGTAGGGAAACTGGAGACCAATTCAGGAGTGTTCATTCAGAAACCAGAAACTACTGTTGCTTAGTTGTGATACATTTAGAATATTAGTTCCCCAACTGCCATAACATCCCAACACGTTATTATTCCAACATATATCTCCTTTGGCCGTCCATGTTTTACTTTACCATGTCAATTGTTGTATGTATATACATTTTTCAGGCTGACTTTGTTAGATTTCATGCCGTGGCAATCTAAATTCTATCCATCAACACAATTTCAACTCAACCTGTCCACTAAAAAATTCATTCAATTTGATCTAAGTAATTTTGAATAATGAATTATTGGAAATTACTGTATACATTTTTTTTATTATATAAGGATGATATAGATTGATTTGATAATCAGGTGTTATTGAAGGAATTTAAATCTGGGATCTCTAGGTTCAAGACTAGTGATATTATCGCTAGACCAGGTTCTTGTTTTGCAAGTTTTGATATGTTTTATACTTTATAATTAGCAGGTTTCTTATTTTGGAACTCATATCTACCTATAGAAAAATCACACATGACATAATAAGTGGGTTCGAGTGGAATCTAGGACAAACACCCGTACTCACCCTAACCAAAAGTTAATTAAGTTTTGCATTCTGCTACTATAAGTTAATGATAAATGCAATGTGCACATAAGTACAAATAAATGATAAAGTAATGTTGTCTATTATTGCACAAACACTTCGTTTGTTTTTTGTTAAACAAATCTGACCCTTGCCCCTTAATCTATATGGCCCTTCATAACCATGGCCTTTAAACCAATTCCACGTGGAGAGATATGGGACACAATGAAAGTGACAACCTCATCTCCTACCGTTAGCAAAACAAAGCTAAATATAATTGGTGATTCGAAGCCTACTCAATATAATTAGGTTTTTTTTTTGTTTTCAAAATTTATTCGAGGTAAAATTAGAAGATGATTTTTTTCTTGCGGCCAATAACGATGTGTGTGTTTTGTTTATCAGTTTGTGTTAAGGTTGAAAAATGATGTGTTTCCCAGATCGACGAATTGGAGTACAGAGCGTGTACTAGACCCAATTATATATGGTCCAAATCCAATCATGCTTGTGTAATATAGCTCGATAGTGTTCATGCTAGGCACGCCATACTGAGCAACAAATTACCATTTTGTTTGGTTAGCACACCAAAAATCAAATCAATAACCGAGGAAAAATATGCCCTTTTTTAGAACTTGAATTCCAACAAGCATGGATACTTTTGATTCCCAAAATCCATGTAAAAAAAAAAAAAAAGAGACAAAGATTAGCAACTTAACTTCCACTATAATGTAATCAACATTAACATAATATTATATGGGGCTGTGATCGTCTCTACGATCTAGCGGAGTGAGATTTGTGAACGAAGGAGGGTACGATATTTGTAAAATTAGGATTCGGACTTGAGTCTCGTTGGGGAGTGGGGAGAGCGGTTGAGTCGGCTACTAATACTAATTGGGAAGTGGGTTAAGTCCATGATATGGTCTGATAAATCACGATCTGAACAGACCATACCAATAGATCAAACATCTCATAATACTGACCATTGATCAAACCAAACCACTATTAAAGATCTATGATTCGAACAAAAAAATGTGTAGTTCGGTTTGGTTCATGATTTCTCAAGCAGTACGGTCTATTTTTCCAGCCCTACTTTGTGCTATGTCCTCGTTGGTTATTTTCTGCAACCCCTCTCTAGTGACGTATCCATGGAGGTTGGACACTCCTAAAACTTGGAAAAACAATTATATAGCATCTTATAGTAGTTTGTGTATGGGTAAAGAAATATTTAAGTGATAGCATTGAGAAAGATTTGTTGATCAGTGACTCACTAAAACACAACACCAAACTACAATCAAGTGTAATCGCAGTTCAGAAATGCAGTAAAGTGGGTTTAGTTTTACTTGTCAACTCGAGTCCTAGATGTATTGTCTACTCCGCGAATCTCTATTATCTAGCAGTAAAAGTTGAGTGAAGTTTATTAAAATTAAAAGCAAACAGAAAGCAAGTAACGGTTGTATTCAGATTAAGAAGGCTCACTCAGGTATGAGTCCCCCTAGATCGCAGTTAGGCCAAGTTGTAATTCACCCAAGTCAAGTTAATTGGTATTTAAACTGCGGAAAGTTCTCAAAAAGTATGGAGTCTCGACTAAAGTGCTCCAGACCCTCTCAATTTGAATACCCGGTGGGCGACTAACCTCCACTGCGTAAGCTAACTGTGGCAATAAGATTCAAACTTTCTCTATTGGGTTCTACACCAGTACAGAGCAGTTAATCGACTTCTCGATTAAAGCCGCCGATTCACTATCTCCAATTCAAGATGCTCTATTGACCTATGCAGAGCTCATCTTTCTAGGTCAAAGCAGGAATCACTAGAATTTGATCAAGACTCAATCAATTCTGAATAAATACTTCAATTGGATATAATTCAATCAATCATCTATGGAGTAGAAATCATCGTGTAGACAAAATAAATCTGCTCCGCGTCATCAATCGTCACTCCTCGAGGCTTGAATTGAGCTCCAATGTCGGAAAACTTGATCTATGACACTTAAGGGTCTCTCTTCATCACTTTCTCTCTCTAAACCTCTGTTTTTAGCTCCAAAAATTGAATGGTATCTCAAACTCCCATTTCCAGATCGTTAAACCCGACTTACGAATCCTCGGCCTGATTCCCCAGTCAGGTTTTGGATACCAGGTCGGGTTTCTCCCAAAACGGCGCGCAATGATTAGTCGTTGAAGCATAATTTCCCGTTCTCAGGTAAGATTCCCCAATCAGGGATTAAGGGGTCACAACCGGGGAAAATTCTTGGACGAATTCCCCGTACTCCATTGCAATTCCCCATTCGGGAATTAGATGAGTTGACCGAGAAATTCAGTCCTCGAGCCCCGCCTTTCGCCCACTTGGTGATTTTGACCCGAAACTCGCCTCCAAGCATGCACAGCTGATCCAAGACCTGAAATATACCGTACAAGAACATCCTAGCGTGAAATCGGCTTAAAACACGAGAATTGAGCCTCAAACAGTGTAAGAATGGTGGGAAAAATATGTGCAACTATCGAGTTATCAATCAATGTAGATATCTAATGTATTTTACTATTTTTTTTCAATACGAAACACGTCGTGAAATTTTAATGTAACTTTTATTAGGCGGATATTTTCATATTTATAATTCTTAATTAAATTTAATTTTTAGAAGACGACACACTTCTATAAAGTTTATGAATCCGTCATTGTCCCTCTCTCTAGTACATGATGATACAGCTCTTTCTAGTACAAGACTTATACCACACCATGGTGGTGGAACATGTATACTACGAGTGACCTTTGTTGATTTCATGACTTATTAGGTATGTTAATTAGTGTTATAACCGAAGATCTGCATGTTGAATTTGAGGTATAGTAATATTGGATATACTGGTCTCTGAAAACTGTGGGTACGAGGATGAGGTTGCATATCCTCCCATATAGGAATATGGGGCAGGTACGCATTTGGTTACTTGGAAATGAGGATGGGGATGGTTTAGCGAACCCCCGGCTCGCCCCATTGTCATCCCTAACTTGATATGTACATAGATTTGTAAGCCTTTTATGAAAGGAAAGAACAAGAAGCAACAAGTTGTGATGGAGCAATATGGGTTATCTAGGATAGCGTGGATTGTTTGGAGCAATATAGGTGTTGTTTGGAGCAACATGGGGTGCTTGGATGGTATCCAACACTCCCCTTAAAGTGAAAACTATGAATGTCAAGAATGTCGAAAGTGAAACTAAATAACACCCCAACAGTCTCTCCAAAAGATCATGCAATAATAAAATGTCTCTTGGTTCGTCGACGGGCAAGGAGGATATTCTTGACGTCTTGGATGAAATTGATTTGAGGAATATTGACGGAGCCTTTTTAATCTACCTGATGGATATATCGGTTCAAAGATACATTGCGGTCGACTTGATTACTGAACTGATCGACTCAATTGTGTTGATTCCCTATTGTGCCAACTGCCAAACTAGAATGCTTTGTGTAGATGAAGAACAATGAAGGAGACCCCAATAACAAAACTTTAGTGCGTAACATATTCCCCTTATTAGCTCCTTTGGTGGATTAGTTGATCAATAATGGATTGTCAATTATGGCGGCAGTTTCTTGCAAGTTTCAAACAAATAATGATATCTAATGAAAAGTGATCGTTATGGAACAGTAATTTAACAATCAATCAACATCCCACCTTTTAGGCTTTAGCCATCAAATAGTCATAGGCAAAAGAGCACCCTTGTCTTATGCATCTCCAACTCTATCACAAATATGATTCCTCCTACACAGAACTATTTGATTTTCCAAAGCATCAATGGTAATAAGCATTTTATGTTCTTAATTAAATAAGAAATAAAAGTTGCAGGCACCTTGTTTCCGTAGAAGCCATCATTAATGCCATACGTTCCCGGGGTCCTCTTCTCGATTAGGGATGTCAATAAGTCGAGTTGGGTTGGATTTTATCAAATCCAAACCAATGGGTATATCCAAAAAAAATTCGGGATAAAACCCAATGGGTTTGAAAAATTCAAACTCAACCCAATCAAACGCGTTGAGTATCCTCGGATTTATGGATTCTCATGGAGAATGGGTTAGGGTGGTTACTAGAATTCTAGTAGCCATCATTATAGGTGTCAATCGGGTGGGTTCGAGTCGGGTTTAGTCGGGTCGCGGGTTAATCGGGTTGCGGGTCAAGCGGGTTCGGGTTGATCGGGTTGCGGATCAGTCGGGTTACGGGTTGCGGATCAATCGGGTTCGGGTTGATCGGATTGCGGGTTACAACAGGTCGGGTTGCGGGTTGTTCGGTCCACTCCATCGAGTTTTTTTTATAATTAGTTATTACACTATTTTTTTTAGGGAGTTATTACACTAATTTAAAACAAACTCACCGATCACCATATTGCAATGAATAAAACATGAATGTATATTATTAAACAAATGAATGACTAGATTTTGCTTGAATATATCATAAACAAGTTTGATGTTGCTAGTTGTTGGTACCTTGTAGAGGATTCATTAAGGTTATAGAACCAACATAAATAAATAGTTGAACAACAAGAAATTAAAAAGCTGACAAATTGTTTGATCATAAACCTATGAAACCATCTCTTGAGTCTTGATAGTTGAGAGTTGAGAGTTGAGACTGTACATGGGCGCTGGGCTGTGCTTGTGCCGGCACGGCACGGGCCCATCTCTTGCCCATATTTTTCGTGTCGTGCTAGGCACAGCCCATTAAATTTTGTGTCGTGCCATACAAGCCCATTTAACAGTTTTATTAGGCCCGGCCTGGGCCCAAGCACGAGTTAAGCTGTGTCGTGCCTGATCATGTCTATGTCGTGCTTTTATTTTGTTCACATTCGTGCTTATTCGTGCTTTCTAGTATAATTTAACTTTCATTCTTATTTTATATGGTAATACACGCTTTTAATATTTCTTACTCAACTTCATCTACAAATTATTAACTTCCTGTAACTGTAATTAAATACTAATATCTAGCACTGCATTTTCGCGTAGCTAATTATAAACCGCTAGTCATATATCCACTATACATATATTAACATGCAAATTGAAAACACGAACTCTTTGTAACATGAGATTCTAACATTAATATGAATACAACCGATACAAATATCATTTCTGGATCAGTGGTAAATAACATACAATTTTTTTAAAAAAAACTCATTGTTGTATGATGAAACTCAACCTAATGAGAACCAATTACAGATCTATGAGATAACATTTTCTTGCTCTGTAACTATAGTTTCCAGGTCTGCCTTTTCTTCATCGATTCCATAATTTTGCTTCCAATTGTCCGCTCAAAGCATTTAAGACCTTCAAGCCTTTCCCATCCTAGAAACATAATTCAAAGGAGTTCAAAGTTACTACTCTCTCTAGCAAACTCAACTGCTAAGCAATCAGAAATAAATAAACCATATACAAAGCACTACGAACACTTGTCCAGTCCCAAGAAGTCATGACAAAACAGAGTAGAAGCACATCATAATAGCTCAACTAAAAACAACTTCATAGAAGCTCACAACCCTCAAACTTCATCCTCACCAGTTACAACTATCCAAACCAAGCAATAAATGTATGGCGTCAGTGATTCCTGCAATTTCTTGTACAACCACCTACCTACCTTATATAATTAATCAATTGCAACAACTTAGTAGTACAGGACAGAGACTTGCCTCTACTGCCATATGAGGAATTGCAGAAAAGACTAATATTTCCAGCACCAGTCTCCAAGCTGAACCTGGATCACAACAAGGTTAAGTTAGGACATATACTAGACACTCAAAGTTCAATTAGAATACACATTAACCTACTGCTTCTGCTGCTGGTTGTTCTTGTGCTGCAGTTGATGCTTGCCATTTCCTCTACATGAGTACACCACACTACAAACAATTAACATCATACCACATCAGTTAGGTTCAAGTACTAACATCATACCCTGCATTTCAGTTGTACTAATGAAGAAAATATTTCCAAACGAAGCCATTACAAGAAGAGCTCCCACTAATTGATGTAGAATAGAATGAACTTTCTGATATCCATGAGTAGAAAATAAATACGAGACCCATAAGGTCACCATTGTCTAACAGTAATAATTGAGGGATGAAGCCAATGACATGGGATCTGAGCTAGGCAACGCCACTTTGGAAAAATGTTGTAGCAAAGGATGGAGGAGGAATGAAGAAACTCGCAAGCCTGGCCAATTGATGTTGCCGGAAGAAAAAGAGAGGATGGTGTTGAGGTTAGGGTTGCGGACGGCGGAAGAGAAGATGACAGTAGAGGCGCGATAGCGGTGGAAAGACAAAGGAAAGCGGTTTAACCATTTTGAAGCAGACATAGATTGCTGAATGGGTATCCATTGATTCGAGCAAATAGAGGATTGAAGAATCTACCCAGATATGCCGCCACCGCCTCAGTCCAATTAGTCGTCGTTGGTTAGGGAAACTGGGCCGAGGCCCCATATTTCTCCTTTCCTATGATCGAATTTCTTCAATCGCGCAATGTACTCTATCAAGCGAGAATATAGAAGTTTTCAGGGAGTGATGGTTGTGGTGGTGGATTTAGAATTAGGGTTTGTTTTCTGGAAAATGGGAGGGAGGGGAAGAACAGAGTGGGAACGGCTTGTGGTATGAAGACTCGGAGAGATAAGGATTAGAATTTAGGAAGGAAAGATGGAACCATAAAGAAAAGAGGGGGAAATTTTGAAGCCAGAAAAGAGTTAGTTCTTCTCAAAATAATTGGGAATGGCGGGTTGATTTTTGTTGTTGGCGGGATTTTTTAGACAAAGCAAATATTTGGAGCAAAGCAATTTTTGGAGCCAAATCAAATTTTTGAGTGAAAGGAAATTCTCCCTCCTAAAATTTTGGAAGAATATTTTGTAAAAGGTAAATTGACAGATTATTTACGGGAATTAACCGTGACTAACAATTGGTCATTTAAATTGTAGAAATCTTTCACGTTTGGACCAAATTTTGGGGGTTAAAAATGATTGTTTCCTCAAATATTTGGGGTTTATAAAATCAAATTAAGATGTACATTTGAATACGATATATTTAAGATGTACATTCACAAGTTAAATTAATTGTTAAAATCAAATTAATTAATAAACTATAAAAAAAAACAAAATATCTATCACAAAGCATAACCATGAAGAAACCCTAACCCTGTAACACCATTTTAAATCTGAAATCTAAAACTAACCTTAACCATCAACCATACATTATCCTAAATCACAACATTAAGTAATTAACCCTAAAACTAACCTCAACCCTTAACCATAATTCCATAACCCAAACATGCAAACAATGAACTCTAAACCATGACCCTATACGGCTATACCCTATACTATAGTTATATGTTATGAAATTGTTGGAATAAGCTACAACGTATGTTATGTGAAGAATGTAAGTTGAGCCAATTTTATATTCGGTTATTGAGAAGAACATATGTCCTATTACTCCAAACTCTAAACCACGAGTCCAATACCGTATACCCTATGCACTAACCTTAAACCATGAACTATAGTTATGTATTATGAAATTGTGGGTTATTGAGAAGAACATATGTCCTACGACTCCAAACGTTTAATATCTGTATTTAATGAAATGAATTATTAACTTTACTATTTTTACATATTGATTTATTTATAAAAGTAATTAGTTTTATATATTTATAACTATTAATGTACTATTAAACGTAACATTACCTAAGAGACGAAGTATAATACCCGTAAGTATTTTATACGTAACTTTCTCGTACCATATTTTACTAACTATGCTATACATTAAGTGAATTTTATGTATTATTAACTTTACTATTTTTGCATATTGATTTATTTATAAAAATTAATTAGTTTTATATATTTATTACTATTAACGTACTATTAGACGTAGCATTACCTAAGAGACGAAGTATAATACCCGTAAGTATTTTATACGTAACTTTCTCGTACCATATTTTACTAACTATGTTATACATTAAGTAAATTTTATGTATAAGTTGACATACAAAAACATTAAGTGAATTTTATGTATAATTTGACATACAAAAACATGTTAAAAAAATATGTCTCTACTAGGCTTTGAACCGTGTCCCTCAGATGGGAAAGACCAGCACATAAGCCAGCTAGTCCACGTAATTGATTTGTTATAATTTGAACTTGTTGTTTATTTGATTCAACTAAAAGTCAGAGAGACCAGAAAGTATTATGTGATTCAATTTACCGAGACAGTGAGACTATTATGTGATTCAATTTAATGACAGTTGTCATTTGTCAACAAAAAGTAAACCTTTGTTCTTGGTGGGAAAGATGAAAAAATAACAGGGCAAGTCAAGTAAACTTTATATATATTATTTACATATAATATTTATGCACAACAATATATTATGTAGTATTATTCGTGCCAATCAAGCGGGTTCGGGTTGGGTTAATCGGGTTCGGGTTAGTTGGGTTACGGGCCAAGCGGGTTGCGGGTCAAGCAGGTTGCGGGTCAATCAAGTTCGGGTCAAGCGGGTTGCGGGTTACGCGGGTTGCGGGTCTTTGACTTTTAATCCAATCGGGTTGCGGGTCAAGCGGATTGCGGGTCGGGTTGGTTGGGCGGGTTACTCGGGTCGGGTCATGTTTTGACACCTATAGCCATCATGGCTACTTTAGTATCCCCCATTCATTTTTCGTATTTCTCCTTTTTTTAATCTCACGGTTAAGATTGTTTCAGGGCTAAATTACACGTTTGATCACTCAAATTATACAAATCTTTCACATTTGCCACTCGAATTACTTTTCTTTCTTATTCGCCACTAACATTACGAATCGTTTCACTTTAGTCACCGGCCGTTACACTCCGTTAAATTTATCCTACGTGGCAGTCAACTATAAAGTTTGACTGTTAACTCGATGACGTGGAAATTAAAAAATGAAAAAAAATTTCCACCTCATCATTTCACTTAATTTGTCTGATTTATTATATGAATTATTTAATAAAAAACAAATTATAAAAATTACTTATCAACGGCAGGAAGAAATTGCAGAGGCAAGGTATCACCGCTTGGTCCATGTTCTCAGGGTTATTGACGGTCGGTACGACGATAATGAGTTTCAGCAACGTCATCCGTTCTCGTCGACAAAAATATTGCCTAAACTTACGCGTTACGACGATGAGGACAAAAGCAATCGAGACGACAAATTGGTACCAGTCTCTGCCACGGCGGCTTTTCATCTTCTGCTAGGACACTTCTTGCATTTCGCCGGCTAAAGAATCAATTACTCGCTCCATTTCCACAATGCCTTCCCCGATGTCGCGAAACTCTAACGCTTCGTCGCCAATCGATTCGAGGAGCGGATTCTGCCCGAAAACAAAGATCTATCAGTGTCTCAGATCTCCAGCACCACTTCCACAAGCAACCACACCGCTCTCCGTCACTAATTACGTATTCTCTCTTATCAATTCCTTCCCCCTGCCACCGACAATCTTAGCTCTCCTAGACGACATCACTTGCAACCGGAATATTTCCAAGGCAACAGAAGAAGGCAACTTCTAGGAAGGGAACCAAAGGAAGGCAATTCAAGGTCAAAAGTCGTCAGAAAGACAGACAACGAAAAAGAAAGAAAGAAACGGGACCGGAAGAAGAAAATACAGAGCGCGGCGGAAACAGAGAGCGAGCAGAAAGAAAACAGAGGCGATTTCTCTCATTTTTCATGGCGTTGTATCGATTTCGGGATCATGTACGTGATTCCTCTCCAAATCGTCAAGTTTCTTTCTTTTTTGACCGCCACCGGCGGCGGGAGAAACTACGGCCTCTTCGAATCAAGGATCCTCTCCAAATGTCTCGTGTAAACCGTGGGTTGGGTATTGATTTGAATAGGGAATTCAATCCTTACTTATTAGGCGGTGGGGGAAAGGTAAACGAGGCGGTGAGTGCTGGTAGTGGTGATTCAACGGCGGTTGTTGATCGGAAGAGCTCTGAGGGTGAGTTTGATCCAATTAGCAATAAGGACGGCGACGACGGTGATTTTTCTCCGCCAGTAGAGGCTCTGAAAGCTTTGAATCTGTGAATCAACGAAAGCAGAGGGATCGGCATTAACAGAATTGGTGACGAAGACGGCGACAAAAAAGGAGGTGGGGAGGAAGGGAAAGAACTACAAAACGACAGTCGGCTTACGGTCCTGATTAAAGCTGCGGAGCTTGCTTCCGGTGACGATTGTTGTCGTCGACCAGTTGGGATCCGAACGAGATGCCGACGACTGCCGCGGAGGAGACTAAGGACGAGTTAGAGCCTCATTCGCCGTCGATTATGGGAAGCGGCGGTGGACGAATTGCGTTGCGGGGGACAAAGAGGAATAGAAGGAACAAGTGTTGGGTGGTGGATTTGTACAGGGACAAGAATGAGATGAGGACGGAGGCGGCAGCCGGCAGTGGCGGGATCGAAATCGAAGAGAGGGAGGAGCAGCCAGGCGCTTCCGTCGAGGTATCGAGATGCTTCCGTGCGTTTAACAAACTAAGTGGGGTGATGAGGTGGAAAAATAAATTTAATTTTTTTTTTATTTTTTAATTTCCACATCATCGAGTTAACGGTCAAACTTTATAGTTGACTGCCACGTAGGATAAATTTAACCGAGTGTAAAGGCCGGTGACTAATGTGAAACGATTGTTAAAGTTAGTGGCGAATAAGAAAGAAAAGCAATTCGAGTGGTAAATGTGAAAGATTTGTATAATTTGAGTGACCAAACGTGTAATTTAGCCATTGTTTCAGGGTAATTTTGGAAACAAAAAAGACCACACCTGATTATTCTATATATTCTATCCAAATCCTAATTCTATCCTTCCCTCCCTCTAGTTAAACCCTATTTCTACCATCCCCTCCCTCCAACAAAAACTATCGTGGCCACAAGCTCCGGTGACCGTCTCCGCCACTCTTGCCGCAGTTGTCCCGTCGGCCGCCTCCACCAACCCCGCCGCACGTCTCCACCAACTCTGACGCACCAACCTTGAATCTTGATGTCCCATAAACCCAGTCATCCTCCATTGTCGAGCCGCGAATCAGGTGGCTTTGTTCCAATTATCATCGTTAGAGAGAGGGGGATGGAGATAGAGAGTGCCATGGATTATATATATACATACATGGAATGTAACTAGAGCGAGAAACAGAGTAGTGGCGTAAGGCGGAATCAAAAAGCAAAGAAAGAAGAAGAGAAGCCAATGGCATTGATTTGAAATGGTAATGGTAATGATTTGAAAAGGTACAGGGTATTGGTATTGATTTCTTTATTTTGGTATTGTTTTTGTCGCATTGGTATTGATTATCATGTAATGGTATTAATTTTCATGTATTAGTATTGATTAAATCTGCAATGGTATTGGTTTTTTTGTGAAATGGTAGTGTTTTTATTTTTCAAATGACATTGGTGTTTTGTGCAATGGTAGTGTTTTTAATGAATTGGTATTGATTTATTGTTTTGTTGTTGCAGCGGTATTAGTTCGGCTGAATGAATCAAGAAAAAGATTACTACCCTAACAATAACCACCAGAATACCATTATAAACAAGAACAAGCGAAACAATTCATTTTAATGGTATTAATACAAAACCAATACCAAGCCATGCACATCCTACATCCATTATGTAGACACTCCACATCCAACTTATTTTCAATATTGAATACCAATCCATCGAAACATATATACACCAATATCATAATGTAAACACTACTTATAAAACATATGCATCACTAACAAAATAATAAACACCAGAACACCATTATTACCCTTAGTAGCCACGGTGATTACTACTATGTAATAATCACCGTAACCGCTCCCTTTCCCATCGGTTTTGTGCTAAAAAACTGCACAATAACCAGCTTCTGTCAAAATAAGAGTCTAACATCATACTTCCCATACAAATTATCTAAACAAAAAATACCAATTTAGAGCATACAAGCAAACCATAAAGTATCCATACAAATTGCTCAACATTAAAGATAAGCATCCATAAACAACATGATTAATTGAAAACTTATTCCTCCTTGTCAACTAAGCTTCTTCACTCTCCACTCCTTAATATCAACTTTATTGTACACAATTAGGAAGAACAAATTAGACTTGTCACCACAAACATAAGGAAGATTAGTTGCTTAGAGAATATATATATATATATATATATATATATATATATATATATATATGGCAAAGGCTGGCGTACGTCAGTCGTACGCTGTACGCCTGTGTTCACACTTGGTTTTTACACTTGGTTTTTACGCTGTACGCTGAACCATATATATATTTAGAATATTAAATATATCGGTACCACATGAAATAGAATCTGGATCTTGGTTATCATTAATGGTGGCATCGAAGTTGAGTAGTTGTAGGGTGGGGGCAGTTTCTTTTCCTTTTGGAATTAGGGTTAGGAATTAGTATGCAATGCAGGAATGACCAAATGGAAAGTGGGTAATGGATCTGTGGTTGGGACGGGTGGTTGTAACGGGTTGGATATAGCTAAACCTGAATCCAACCCAATCCTCAAAACAGTAAACGGATTTAAACCCGAACCCGGCCCATAATCCGTCAATGCGAGTTTTATCCGTGTTAACCGGGTTGGGATCGATCGATAGGGTACCCGTGGGTTCAGGTTATGTTGTCATTCATATTTCCGATGAGTGCCAGCACAGTTGTTCTATTGTTTTGCAGGAGTTTTAGAGTGGTTTCTTGTTCTCTCCACACAAAAAAAGAAAGAACGGTTTTGTTTACACCTAAAATACTGCGAAACAGATTTCTTGTGTCGTGAATTGTTTGCACATTGTGCAGTGGGTAAACTATGTTGATGTGAAAAGTTAGTATCTTTTGATTTTGTAGTTTGATTGGAATTTTTGTATTGGTTGCGATTTTTCGGGTAAGAAATTGTATCTATCATTTCTTGACATTTCATGAGGAAAAAATCAATCATACTTCCCCCAACTGAAAAATATATAGCATTCCAAGTAGCCAATCTATGTTGTATACTTGCCATGAACGATTTTGAATCCCAACCAAGAGAAATACTTAACCTATCTCCAAAAGAAACCTTGTATGCATAACAGGCAAATTATCTAATCCGCATCCAATTAAACCCATCGAGAATCTTGATATGCAATTCGATCCATCAATCACAAACAACTCACTCTTCAATGTGACATTCCATAAATTGTTGGATCCTAACCATCGTTAACTTACAAAGTTAGTTTTTCGTATTTTGTTGCACTCAGAGGAAAGTACCAACAACTTATTTATTTCTCTTAACGATTTCTCCAATCACATTAGGAACATTCCATTTGTCATTTTACCCTTATGACCTAAAGTTGAGATGGATTAAGCATTTTTGGAAAACTTTCATACAAGTTGTAGGACAGGTTCAAACTCATGTTTTTGCAAAGTGCCAAACTGGAATCATTTGTTAGTATAAGAACATAGCATGAGGGTATCTACTATCTACTGCCAAGTATATTCCCTCGGCTCCCCTTTAGGTGGGGTTAGTTGATCCCTAAATTATAGTCAAATATGGGGACAAGAAATTAATAAGCATAGTTTTTAGGGGAAGTAAAAAAAAAAAAAATGGAATCATATTGTGTAATCGTCCTTAACAAACAGTGCCTAAACAATCAATCCGCATCCCAACTATGTCCCAACCTTTTCATTATGGCGTCATTGCCAAAAAAGAGCTCCCTTGTCTTATGTGTGTACAATATTCCTACATTAACATAAACCAAACCCCTCTCTCAAAGAATTGGACCTCTAAATAGTCAATGCAAATACTTTATGGCCGAGTATGCAACCCAAAACTATTTAATACTTCGGTTTCTCTTTTCTCTATTGAATTTTGGTTGAAAATTTACCGGATCATTTCGTGAATTCTTATCATATAGTATTGATGGACCCAGAATTTCACCTTCTTTCAACCCGTACACATGAATAAAAAGTATGCAAATAAATCACTTTACATGAAAGAATTAAGGATGTTTAATTACCTTCTCAACCAATTAAGACAATTAGCACAAGCCAACTTTTCTTTTGGCTTCATCCACGTGGCTTTTGGGGAGTCCTCTTGCCTTTAATTTTCCTAGCTCCACCAATCACCCTCTCCATGTTAATATAGGAAATATATTGTGTTTGTTTGAGAGATGATCCACCATAATTCTATCTTCACACAATCCTTCCACGTGGCTACAATGGTAGACATGGCAGTGCCACCATCTCATCTCCCTCCAACAAACATAGTTACATGGCATGCAATATATATATATTTACCATTTACATGAATGAGGTATGTGATTGGTGAGCTAGCTAATTGTTTACCTATAGCCAGCCACTCACTACCCTTTCTCCCCATTCACTTACACGTATATAAGAAGATGAGAAAGGTAAGTGATTCTCGTCTTTCATCTATAATTTGGTACTTTATCTTTGCTCGTTTTATTTGTACTAAACAGCCATTGCACTAACTTTCGGTTGGTGGTGAGATAACCTATGTAGTTTTATACTCTTTAATTCATTATTTGCATCCAGCCATTGCACCTAGTGTTGGTTGCGTGGTAAATATATTATTTTTATTTTATTATTCACACGCCATCTACGCCAGAAGCAGGAGGCACCTATAAATAGGGCGCTCATTTATACTTTCTGGGCAGTTCATTTTGGAGTTGAACTTCTAAATCTCTCTCAAGAGCCGGCTCAATATGTCGCTCCCGGTTACTCTCCTCTCAATACTGACTTGAGCTTCGGAGCAGGTCCCCGCCGGCACGCCACCGGCAGATCCTTTTGTTTTGCAGGTGTCCATCTCGGAGGCTGGTGGCGGACGTTGACCAGGAAAATCGGCGCTCACCGGACCTCAAACACATTGAAGCAAGCTCCTCCAAGCTTGGCATCAACAAGTATATATTTGCAGCAAAACATAATATCATATTGTATATATGTGGAGTCATTATCTTTTGTACTCATGGACAAATTTATGACAAAAGGGTTAGACACTTTGTTCTGCTCATCCACAATTGTACTGGAAGTTACTTTGGATTCGAGGAAAGAATATTGATTGTGCACTTTGATCAAAATTTATCGTCCAAACTTGGTTAAAGCCCTTTTTCGACCCATCAACTATGTGGTTTTGGGGTATATAGTATAATATATGGATCCATTCTTTGAATGGCATCCTCTCCAGACAAACCTCGTTAAATGAGTTTCACATGCCAAAACAAAAAGCAATATGGTCATAGAAATCTAAGCCCACTTTCTCCCAACATTTTTGATAAAAAAGAGCGTTCATCGACTCATCGAATTTCAATATCAAGATTCCCTTCATCCATAATAGATTCAAAATCACATTTTTGTTTTACCATTACGCGCTTACAGGTTACATCTGCGACTGCACGAACATGTACTGAAGTATAGAACTAACTAACTATTTTATTTTTGGAGATTCTAGAACTAAACAAGTCTTCCAAATATAAAATCAATCATCCCGCAAGAGAATTTTTTTTTTAATTATAAGTGACATCATTACTTTTTGAGGGTGGGTGGTTGTCCCCCTTTGATGATTTCATATCAATACCTAACCTTGTTTAATTAGTAGTCTCACTGATTTAGAGAACAAAGCAACAAAATTAACTTTTTGGGCTGACGATGGTGGTGATGTGAGCAAGTGATTAAGACAGCCAAACTAGCTATGTTTAAGTTGTCTCCAACTCCAAGGCACTAGTTTAGCACAAATGAGATTGTTGGGGGAGTGTTTTGATATTTTGCCTCCCAATTGGGGTGCTTTGACTTGGTCCATTAATGTAACTCTTCATCATTTTCCCTGCTCATGCTTAGCTTTAAGTGGGTTGGACTTTTGTGATTTGGGGGTTTCCCTTGGTGATTATTGTGGTGCCTCCAAGTGGCAGCCTTAGGGAAGTTTACTGACTCTCTTTCAATGTCATGAACTTGACCTAGCATATCAATCACAGAGTTAAGGAAAGGGATTAGTAAACTTGAATCTGACCCAATTCTAGTTTAGCCTTTGTTTCTAAGATTAATGACCATCAAGTCCTTGTCCCTCATGGCCCCACCACCTCTATTTGACATTTTGACATGTTCCTTCTTTTACCAAAACCTAGTTGTGACTTGTGTAGGCAAAACAATCAAATGAAACCAATTTATCGGGTGATAAATAGACGTAAAGGAATAGGGGTGATTTTTTTTAGAGAAAAAAGGAAATGTTCGTAGCTTACAATGAAGCATAAGTATCAAAGAGATAGATAGATTGCTTTTGATCGAATTTTTTTACAGAAAAGGAAAATTTTCAAAGCTCAAAATGAAGCATAATTATTAATGAGATACATAGATTGCTCGTGATCGTAGAAGTTTTATGGGAGGTTTCTGGTCATATCTGAAGTGTTCCTTAGTGGCCATTAATGAGTTTATGTTAGATGGAAGCTTGGTATGTATGATCTTTTATTTTTCTCTCATTCTTGGGAGGTCTCATCTCGCATTTGGTCACCTAATCTTTTTGTTCGTTTCTTTTCTAACTCGTTTTCCCCTTATTTTTTAGATCTTCACTAATTCACCTCTAAATAACTTCTCAGTTATTTCTTCCATTTCTGACATGACATCTAGCAATCTTCAACATTGTGAAAAGTGAAGCAATTTCTATGGAGTTTGTGTTTAAGATAATCTTGAGAATGCTGCCTTGTTCCATCCTCTATGGACTATAGCATTGAGAAATTTGACTAGAAATTTGCAAATGGATGGTAACAAAAACCAATGTTTGTGGGGGGTAAATCAGTAATTTGAGCAGTGAGTCAAGCAAAAGATGGAGAAAGAATGTATGTTGTGATTGATTGATACTTAGTCTCTCCTAGATATCCCTTCAACAAGAGCTCCCAATATCCAAACAGAAATAAACAAAACTGAAATCATGCTTGTGGTATTAGCTAGCCCCTCTCAACTTGCCAATGATTAAAAAAATTCAGACAAGACCCTCTCCAAGTTGTCCTGTCCCTCACATATATATATAAACACACACTTAACCCAATATGTTCATAGGCAAAAACCTCAACAATCAGTTGTTCAAAACACACTCTCAAAGACTGCTCAACCAAAAGATTCCACCTTTCACACTTGTTTCGTCTCTCCCTTCATTCCCCAATTCAAAATCTTTCCCATCTTGCAAAACCCTTAAAGAACATGGAGATTCATTTCCAGCAGAATGGTACCACAAATGTTCCTTTGATGAGCAAAACAAGCAAAGGCAGGGGAAGAAGCAGAGTCATGAACTGCAACACCAGTAGCAATAACAGCAGCAAGTTCGTTGGAGTTAGGCAGAGGCCATCAGGGAGATGGGTGGCTGAGATAAAGGACACAACTAAGAAGATCAGGATGTGGCTAGGCACATTCGAAACTGCTGAAGAAGCTGCAAGAGCTTACGACGAAGCTGCCACCCTTCTTCGTGGCTCGAATACTCGTACTAACTTCATCACTCATGTCTCCTTTGACTCCCCACTCGCTTCCAGGATTCGAAACCTGCTGGAAAAGAAGAAATCCAAGAAGCTTCAGGCTCAAGAAAGTCCTCTTCTTGCTCAATTACCTGCCACAACCAAACTCTTACCACCACTTCCACCACCACCACCACAAGTCCATACTAGCATTAGCCCTAGCTGCAGCACCAGCAGCATAACAACAAGCAGCAGCTGCAGCATAAGCGATGACAATTCGAGCTGTAGCGAGGTAGTGCTTCCTGATACGAGGCTGTTTGATGATGTGTACAAGCCCGATTTGAGCACCTGCAATGGGGGATTGCAGCTTGATTTGACTTCTCCTCCTTCTGATCTCATGCCATGGAGCTTTGGCCTTGATAATCACAATGGATATGATCAGAGTAGGTTTCAATTTGCAGCTTCCAGTGAAATTGATCTGGAGTTCCCCAGGAACCAGAACTACAGCAGTACAACAACAACAACTGCATTTGGGACAAGTGATCATGAGCAACTGCAATTCTCCGAATTCGATCGGATGAAAGTGGAAAGACAGATCTCAGCCTCTTTATATGCAATTAGTGGTGTTCATGAGTACATGGAAACCATGAGAGACCCAAGTGATGGTTTATGGGATCTCCCCCCATTGTTCTGTTGAGTTTTCCCTTCATTATTCATCTTCAAAAGCAACAAAAAAAAAGGCCAAACTTTCTGTTCTTTTTTCTCGTTCCAGAATTGAGAGTGTGACCCCAAAGAGAGAGCTCTCTAAGAGAGACGGAGTTTGAATCTCTTGTTTTTCTCCTCTCCTTCTTTAACTTGTCTTTTCTGCTGCTGTTTATCTGGAAATTGTGGACAGCAAAGAGCTACCTAATGTGAGCACCATGCTGCACAATCTGGTGTTTAATACAAAGTCCTTGTCCAAATTGTATGTTCTGATTAAATGGAAATTCTAAGCCATCAAAATCGTTCACATTATTCTTGATTATAAGAAGACCATTTTTTGACAAAGTAGTTAAAGAGTTTCTGAAGCTGCTGCAATTCAGTGAGGAAAATGGTGAAAGAAGGGACAAATTCCCCTTTTTTTTAATCTTCAATGAAAGCAATTAGCCTTAGTTAGTCTTTGTCTACAAGGCAAAATTCCCCATACAATAATTATATGTATAACAGTTGGCAAAACCCCCTTAACTTATTTGTGAAGTTTTTAGCTTAATGACAGGGCTTTGACAGTGATCTTTATAAGAGTTTGAGATTGTTAGGCTCTCTGGTTGCACCTGCTCTCTTCACATATCAGCACTACAAGCTCTCTTTTTCCCCTACACAAAAACCTTACCCTTGCAACGAGACCCACCTCCGCCATGGCAAGAAGATCCCTCGCAGCGAGACACCATGTTGAACCACCAACAATACAAGCTTGAGCAATGTGAACTGCCACAGATTTTTTGGCCCCTTTTTCATATTGGTCCCCTTTCTGTTTTCTCCCTGGCTTAATATATAATGAAGACTTCTGAGACAGTAATTGCAGTGTTAACTGTTAGGCGGTTAGCATTTGGAGCAGAGTAAATGGTTGTTAGTGATAACAACAACTGATCCACCAGCCAATCAATTGAGGTTGACCAAGTCATTCCAAATAACAAAGGCGAGTGTGTGGAAGCAATGTTGCTGATGAAGTGCTAACAAAAGGATGGAGGGTGGAGGGAAAAGAGACAAACTTAGCAATTTTGTTTATTCAGAAGTCACAATTATACATAAACCACCAGAACCCAGATGGCAAATTCGAGGGACAAGAGGCAATTTGATGATATACTTAATTTTTTGGGTTTTCTTGTATGCTCCTCCCCTGCATATACATAATCCACATTGTACATTCCCAATATAATGCAGTTCCTATCAAAGGGTAGTTTGCTAGCAACATCAGTAGAGACGTTCACCAATAAGTTGCCTTGTGCTCTTCTCCAAATGAAACTCCCACTGAGTTTTTGTTCAAATCATTGCAGGATGGAGAAGCATGACGCGCTAGGAGAGCCCAGATAAGAAGTGATATTTATTGGCTCTTCTCGAATCAACAAAGGATAATACATTTCAAAGCTCTACTTCAAAAACCAGCATAAGCATTAAGCACAAAGCAAGGAGACAGAATGAGAGAGGGGGATACTCAAAAAATCAAAGACATTAACAGAGCATAGTAGAATTAGAAGGAGTAGCAGTACTTGAAATCATATGAAATACAGAGCGGGAGAAAACAAATGAGAGATAAAATGGGAGGGCGTCAAACATTAGTTATGTAATATGCCCCTCTAGGACAAGTTTTTTTTTTTCAGTACTCGTCACCTTCTTCTTCATCATCAGCACCTTCTGCGCCAACTTCCTCGTAGTCTTTCTCGAGTGCTGCAAGATCTTCACGAGCTTCTGAGAATTCTCCTTCCTCCATGCCTTCACCGACATACCAGTGAACGAAAGCTCTCTTGGCATACATGAGGTCAAACTTGTGGTCAATTCTGCCAAAGACTTCAGCCACAGCTGTGTTGTTGCTTATCATGCAGACAGCACGCTGCACCTTGGCCAGATCACCTCCGGGAACCACGGTTGGTGGTTGATAATTGATGCCACACTTGAAACCAGTTGGGCACCTGCATGAATAAGTAATATAGGACGTCAGCACTTCAGTAGGGTGAAAGACCAAGCTTTGGCAATGGAAAATGTGCTCACCAGTCAACAAATTGAACAGTCCTCTTGGTCTTGATCGTGGCAACTGCAGCATTAACATCCTTTGGCACAACATCCCCACGATACATAAGACAACAAGCCATGTATTTGCCGTGCCGTGGGTCACATTTGGCCATCATGCTTGAAGGCTCAAACACTGCAGTAGTGATCTCAGGAACAGATAGCTGCTCATGGAAAGCCTTTGCAGCTGAGATTACAGGGGCATATGATGACAACATGAAGTGGATGCGAGGATAAGGCACAAGATTGGTTTGGAACTCTGTAATGTCCACATTAATGGCGCCGTCGAACCTCAAGGAAGTGGTCAAGGAAGAGATGATCTGGGATATCAGGCGGTTCAAGTTGGTATAAGACGGCCTCTCAATGTCCAAAGATCTCCTACAGATGTCATAGATAGCTTCATTATCCAGAAGCACAGCTACATCTGTGTGCTCGAGGAGAGAATGAGTGGAGAGCACACTGTTGTAAGGTTCAACGACAGCTGTTGAAACCTGCATTAGTTGTAAACAGGCACTAACTCAATTGACATTCAGAAAGATTTTAGCTTTCAAAAGGGAGAAAATACCAAATTGGTCCCCCTGTTAATGTACTATGACCCATATGACTTTGTTGTAGTATCTGTACCTGAGGTGAAGGAAAGATGGTGAAGCCGAGTTTAGACTTCTTTCCATAATCCACTGACAAGCGCTCCAACAACAACGAGCCCAAACCAGAACCAGTGCCGCCACCAACAGCATTAAATACCAAAAATCCTTGTAAGCCGGTGCAGTTATCTGCCAATTTCCTAATTCGATCAAGGCACAGATCGACGATTTCCCTCCCCACTGCAGCATTTCAACAGCAAAGCAGTAATTTTATAGTCAGTGAAAAGAAAGAGAAAATGCATAGTTACTCAGGTACTAAGGCATCCCTGTGTTTAATTTACAAAATTGTGAATTCGCTACTTTATTTACCAGTGTAATGTCCTCTGGCGAAGTTATTGGCTGCATCTTCCTTGCCGGATATAAGCTGTTCAGGGTGGAAAAGTTGCCTATAACTCCCTGTTCTCACTTCATCAATGACGGTGGGCTCCAGATCAACGAAGACAGCTCTGGGGACGTGTTTCCCAGAACCAGTCTCGCTGAAGAATGTGTTGAAGGAATCATGCTCACTCCCGATCGATGTGTCACTGCAAAAGAATTTTAAGCCAGGCAAAACTTAACTAGGCAATAGCTTACAGGAGACATAGATCCTGAAATGATGTCGACACCCTAACGGTTCATTTAAGTTCTAGTAAAAAAGAAATCCAAGCCCAGCCTTGAGTCGCCGGCAAAACTGCAATTCTACCCTAATAAGCACCAAACGTACAAAGAGGATTAACAGGGGAAACCCATGAAGAACCTGTCCCCAGAAGGGAAACCATAACCGAAAGCAAGCAAGCAAGCAATCAACTCCGAGATTCCAACCCAGCAAAGGAAATGTGATAAGCCAAAGCCGAAGAGGGAATAAAATTGACAGAAGAGAATTTTTCTTCTTTGAGACATATAAACAAACAGGTAGAGAGCATCGCAGAACCCATGTGATTTTCAAAAGAGAAGCTACAGAAAAAGAAAAAAAGAAGACGTGAAACGGGTCTGGGTACCTGGGCATGGTGCCATCAGGTTGAATGCCATGTTCAAGGCAGTAAAGCTCCCAGCATGAATTCCCGACCTGAATCCCAGCTTGTCCAATATGAAGGCTGATCACCTCTCTCATTTTCGCTTTTTTTTTTTTTTTTTCTAGTCCTGAAGATCGCAGAAGAAGAACCGAGCCGAACGCCGATCCAACCCTCTCTCTGTCTCTCGATTCGACAACCTCAGAACAGAGGCAGGGAAAGGGAAGGAAGGATGGATGGGGGAAGAACGAAAAGGAGATTCAAAATCTAAAAAAGTGGGAGAGAAGATAGAGAAGAAACACCAGATTTCTCCTTTACTTTCTTTTTCTTCTCTTTTTTTCCTTTTTCCCCCTAATTTATGTATTTTTCGACGACTCGTTTGACGGGGAAACAAACAGCCGTTTCTTTACTTTTCTGTCTTTTCTGTTTTTTTTGTTTTTTTTTTTCCTTCCTTTTTTGAAAAATTGTTATTTTGATTTATTATTTATTACTGATATTTTAATTTTGGGAAAAGGGAGGAGGGATTTTTTGTTTTTTGAATTTAGGGAAAGGTAACTGCCAATTGCGAGAAAGCGGGGCGAGGAGGTGGGGCCTACCACTTGGCGCCAACTGTATGATGCTGTAACGGTGAGTGAGAGAGAGAGAGAGAGGTGTGTGTTTTGGTGTTTAGCTTCTAGTACCTGCCATGGGCCCCGGCCCGCCTCTCTGGCCCGCTGAGAATTGGATTTGGAATCATTATCCTTGCCCGAAGAGTATTCGTTATTTTTGGAATCAAATCAAATCTTATAGATAATAATTAATATTAATTAACAAGTAATTAAAAATGTTGGGTGGAATATGCGAGAAGTTAGAGCGTTAACTTCTTAGGGGTTAGCACACTTAATAACATCCTAATTTCTCTAATCACGATTCATTACTTTTGTTCTATTGAATATGATGGTGAAGTGTAATAAAGGGCATGTTACATAGGAAAATTCTTAGCTCCAACTATCACATGTCAGTTTGTTATTAGTGGACTCATCTTTGTTTTTTTTCTCAATATTTAATGTTCTTATTTATGTAAAATAAATCAAAAATTAAAATATGAAGGAGGAAGATAAACTCACGAATAGGAAAATGATATGTGGCCGGTCGGAGCTAAGAATTTTCCCATTACATATGAGGAGAAAAAAAAATTGAGAATGTATTTCAGGTAATTAAATTTAATTAATACATTAAAATTTTGAAATATCTTTCTTCTAACTCCAATAGAGATGTACTACATGAAAAAAATAACTATTGAAAAAATATTACTACTTAAATTAGCGGTGATTTAGGCAGGTGGTGTAGCTATTTTTAAAATTTATAATAGTGATTTAATTGAATATTAGTATAATTTGGTAAATTTAAACTGGTAATGATTGAAGACTCCAAACTCCATCGTCTCCAATACCAAACTAACAGCTATTCTCTTGAGTCCAAATGTGAGGTTTAATTACCATGAGCACCATAATTATTAGGTTGGATGATACGAATCTCAGACCTAATAAGTAACCAACAACTTTCTGATGAGACCATTTTGTCGCAAAGGTTAAAGTTCCAACCTAACCTCCAGAATATTTCTTCCTTCCGCAAAACAGAAAGTTCTGGCAATTGCGCCGGTTGTCCTGCCGGAGGGTAAGTACGTGAAAGTGGACCAGCGACAGCAGGGCATGCATAAATGTGATAATAGGGACTTCTATCAAAAAGGTTCAATAATGCATGACAAGAACTAATAAGGCCACTAACAAGAGAACATGTATGTCTATTTAGCAAGGATTGAGAAACCGTGCCATACTGGTGGTTAGATACAAAAAAAAACCTTCTACTTTAAGCAAAATCGGCAGACGGTATTTAGTAATATGGAACAGTTTAATCACAGTTTCAATATAAAATACTTTACCATTGACTTTTTCAAGTACAACCTCTGATATGGTATTTCAGTCCTTCGATAGGACCATGGAATAGACAGGACAACAAATAAGGATGTTGTGGAACATGGGATAAGGAAAACAGCAAAATATATGGATATCTAAAGATAGTTAGTCTCGATTACTCTCGTGAAAATTCCTTTTAAAAAAAAATATTCTCGTGAAAATAGCAAAAACTATAAACTATATATATATTTCGTTAGTTAATGTGCTTGCATTGCAATAATTGTAAGCTTTTGATGACGATGTTGATGCTCCTCCCACCTCCTATTCTGTCATTTCCTTTGCCATGTTACTCCAAATTAATAAAAATAGAAATGAAAAGGAAAAATTTTGGATCGATTTTACACGAGTTGAGAGTTTTGTGTTTGTGTAGACTGTAGAGGGAAAGTAGTTCTAGGGACAGATATTGTGGTTTGCTTCAATCATCGTCTAAAAGGCAAATCTACCTAACACGATAATTCGTGAGATGTTTTTTTCCACACATTTATGTGTTACGTACCAAGTGAGAGTAATTTGTAGCAGATTATCTCGTCTGCCGAAACCATGACTCATCATCAAGGCGTCGCGTTATTGATTTCTATGATTCATATATAGTTTGCTGACTTATATTTGACATTTTTTAAAGTTAAAGAAAAGAATAAAGATTTGGTGATTCTATCACTGGTATTAAATTTGGAGGTCATATGTTATCATAATTAACAATAAAAACAAATATATGTTACTTTTATTATAATTAAAAAAATTATGCATGAAACCTTGGTAATGCTATCATGCTAATCGAAATTATTAACCGTTCAATGATCATAGCCCTCCATCATGTCACAATCAATTATATAAAAATAAGTTTAATTTATAAAAATATATGTAATTTCCTTTCTTCAATTTAAATATATAGGACAATCATAACTTCTATCTTCTATTATGTGGAAGGTGGGTAGCAGCCAAATCTGGAATTATGTCGATGTAACCACTCAACTAATCTTTCTACAAACAACAATTAATAGGAACTAACTCTTCAATAATTTGAAGTTTGAAAACAGAAGAGAACGCTGGTAAACCTTTGTGGGACAGAGATTCCAGCCCTAACTGCTCCTACTTTTATCTGTCAAAATACCATGAATCCATGATACCTTGATGCAGCTTTGATGAAGTCAAACGTGGACCCTAAACCGCTATTTGCCTGAATATTGTTGATTCGGCAGTATTTATGAGTTTTGAAAATCGGGTAATTTTGTAAGGGATGTAATCTGTAATCATATACGAGAGTATCACTATTGTTTGATAGCGAATTGGACGATAGAGAATGTATAATAACTATTAATAAGGATGTTGCTTAAACTTACCCATTACGTAAGATAATCAACTTTCTGTGATGAGTTTTTTTTTATTATAGAATATCTCATGAAGGGTGTTTATGCAGAACACTATAGATGCAATCTGACAAATTTTATTGAATAAGAAAACTCAATTACATATAGTGATTACATCAATCCATGATTATCTGACTCCTAACAACGCTACACTACCCAAAAATCACACTAACCATGCTAACTAACTAACCAATTGAGCTGAAAGTGCTCAACCAATCTAACTTACTACTCAAGGACTAAAATTTAACAAAACAGGAAATAGGGACTGACTCTACAATACTGCACAACGCACACATGCTTATTCAACTCAAGCTCAAACGACGCCACATTCTCCAGCAGTAGATTACTTTAAAATTTGGCTCCTTCTTTCTCCAAACCCGATGCAGCAAGGAATCCGACAACAATCAGGATTTCTTCCAACACGTCCTCCCCTGAACTGAAGACCCTTAGCAACCAACTTCAGTTCAGTGAAGCCTCTTATTAAAAGTGATAAAAATCAGGACTCGTTAAACCAATCGAGTGAGTGTATAGTTAGTTCATCGCTTAAAGCCTTAAACCATTGTATTTTTCTAAAGAACCAAGATGGATAATCAGGTTCATCTTCACTTTACATGTATTTGTCGTACAAATTCATTACACATAAAAAAATGGTTTTGAACCGACGCCATATCAAACTAAATCTCATCTTATGATTATTGGATCCATGTCAGATTAGCGAAAGGTCTAAGGCTATTGGTCAACCAGGCTAAAAATTAATACTAATTTAAAAATTATATATCGCTTCCAAAATGTTCAATACTCCCATTCAATATGCAATATTCAATATTCAAACAAATGATATATAAGTTTCAACCCTTCCTCAAATTTTTTAGACAAAAAAAATCTCCCCTCCCCCTCACACACATTGGCAAAGAAATACTAAATCTCAATTTTTTTCTTCACTTTACTTGCTTCTAAAATTATTGTTGACGTTGTTTGTTATTACTACAAGTTGTAAAAAAAGACTTTTCAACTATGAAGTTAATCAAGAATGATTTTATAAATGAATTTTTAGTTATATACACTGAGAAAGGTTTGAGTCTCAAAATAAACAGTGAATGTATTTTATAAACTTTTTAGAATATGAGTTATCACATTTTGTTTTATTTGTATCAAATGGCGCATTTCTCCATAAAACATGAGTTCACCAATATAGACTATTTGGTGCTCACACTTGTGCGCGAGCCCTTGAAGTTGAAGTCTGGTACGACCCATGAAGCATTCATGCTTGTACATGGCCGATCCATATACATTGTATTCATGGTATGCTCTAATCGTGTCGTGCTAGCTCGACCATGTGCCTAGGTATAGCTATATGCAATATAATAATTAAGTTTCTACCTATTCACATTACCAAGATAAAACGGTAATAAATACACCCAGTATTCGATTTTGACTACCTGATGAAATACTACATTTGAATAAACTACAACTAATGTCACAAATAATAATTATACTTCTAAATAATACATAAAATGTTTCAAACATCACAAGTATTAAGATTAAATTAATTATTAGAAAGAGTAGAAATTGTATGATAAGATCAATTATAATTCATTTATATGTTAATGTCCTATAAATTGATCAACACATCATATCCATATGACGAAATGAACATCACATTAAACTCGATATCGTCTCATTATTGTCGGGTCCATTCATGCCCGATTAGCACGTTTAGCAGTTAAGCAGGCTAAAATATTAGAGAACCAGTCACCTTTAGTTTGTACAAAATATTATTATTCGTATTAATTCTGAAAATTCATATTAATTTAAAGAATTCTGCATCGCTTTTGTATATTCAATACTGCAGTTCGATATGCAATATTTCAAGCAGTGAAATTTGTGTTGCAATTTTAAGATTACCCGTCATTTATAGGTTATAAAAATTATAAATCACGTATTAAACTTTGCTTTTCAGAATATTTAATAGGATAGCTAACCGTGAAAATTCCTCTGCTTTTCAAATCTTGGTTTAGTGCATGTGTTACAATTTATGAAGATAAAACAAATTTGTTTAGTGTAATTGGTTGTGATTATTGTTTTTATTTGAAGAGACCATGTTCAAATCTTGATATTGATACTTTTTCATATGAAGTATAAAGAATTCTGAATCACTTTTGCATATTCAATACTGTAACTCTATATGCAATATTTCAACCAATGAAATTCGTGTTGCAATTTTAAGATTATCCGTCATTTTATAGGTTAGAAAAATTATAAATCACGCATTAAACTTTGCTTTTCAGAAGATTTAATAGGATAGCTAACCGTGAAAAGTCCTCTGCTTTTCAAATCTTGGCTTAATGCATGTCTACAATTTATGAAGATAAAATAAATTTGTTTAGTGTAATTGGTTGTGATTATTGTTTTTGTTTGAAGAGACCATGGTTCAAATCTTGATATTGATACTTTTTCATATGAAGTACAAATGAATATACTCGTCACAAAGGTACATGTTTTGGTTACGCTTCTTTATTTTGTCTGAACTAAACAACACATACAATTTAATATTAATGTTTGAATCAATACTACTTGAGTTCCGATTTAAGAACTATTATATTTCTATAAAATATAAATAACTTAAGATAAATATAAATACAGAAGCATCATCACCAAACATACATTTCTAGAGTTCAATCAAAGAAATAACAAAATAAAATGTAGTCTAGTTGGTTATAATGCTCTTTATTCATTCAAATGATCAAAGTTCGAACTTCAATGATAACATTTGTAATATATAAACATGAACTAAGTGCAATGACAAAAATAATCTTTCTAAAATCACTCTCAATTCACGAAATTTGAATTAGGAGAATTCTAACCTATATTTTTTTATATATATTTTTGTAGATTATTACTCACTAGTAATCAGTCCGCGCTCCGCGGCGGGATAAGTTTGGCTTGAGTAATTTCATGGATTATGATATATTTTTGTATGCATGTGATTTGGAAATGGTTGAGATAGTTGTTGGATAGAGTTTGTTCTATGGTATTGTTAAGCTTGGGGCATGTTCCGTCGCGTAGAAATGTCAACATATGTTATCAGCGTACACGGGGCCGCTCGATTGTGTGACCTAGCTGTCTTCATCAAGCATCATTGTTGCCAAACCAAGGATGCTGCCATTGTAGATGCATTATAGTTGGGTGTACGAAACCATGCTGGGGATTTAGTGTATCAAGGCATAAAAACAAAAGATAGTACATAACAGCCTTGTGAAATCCAGAAATCCTAATCAAATTTAAACATTGTTTTGTCCTCATTGGACCTGGAGAATGAAAACTTAGTTAAGGAAGGAGGATAATAGAGGCAGAAAACATGCATCAGGGACTCTTTCTGTCATTAGTGTTGACGATCACTTGTCGATTCTTGAGGTATGCCAATGAAACCATAACTGGATATTGTTTGTTGAAACGTATATTCTCTGTGCACTTTTCATCAGATGTGTAACATATGATTATAGTTGTTTAATTATGCAAATATAACCAAGAAAATATTGTACATGATCATTCGAATACACAATCTACTAATCACGTTTTCAATTATAAGTCAAGTCCAACAGAAAATCAAATTTCTACATTTGAATTACAGTTTTATATGAATTCGATCTGAATGAGAAAATGCGCATGGCAAATAATATATTACAATTATCATTTGGACTCTACAGGGTATTAGTGGGGAACATTACAATATTTATCTCATGAAACAACTAAAAGCTTTCCTGAGTTTCCTAAACTAATCGAAGAGACTTGGAAGTAGTTTTGGCAATCTACCAATCAAACATCAAAGCAGAATGTTCCCATAGGCACAATCCATCTGCTGACATCAACTGCATATAAGGCAAGAGAAAGAAATAGAGTCAGAAACATAATTAGGCATAGGATAAAAGTAAACCTTTGGGGCTTCCCAAACCAAACTTCTACCTCATGTAATTTCTACATTTTGAGGCACCACATGATATCCATCTAGAGATTCTAAAGTTGAAGAAACCATGTTGTAAACTGAATACCCATAATAATTTCTACATTAACAAAGACCGAGGAGAAAAGCAAAAGAGATTGGTTTTTTTACGAAAGGACAAAATTTAATTCTGCAAATCACTAAACAAATTGAACTCGAAAACAATCGTTTACCCAAAATTTCATCGTGGGATGCTCAGAAAATCATCACTTCATAAGGAAAATAAATAGCCACCAAAGCTCTCGACTTTCACGACTCAGAAGTTTGAAAGCAGCTCATCAATTTTTGGAAAACCGTATCACTTGGCACAACAAAAGACGAATGAAATTATCAAAAAGAGATCCACAAAATAAGACACAGAATGAGAGAGAAAACAATAATAAGTAACCACAAAACTTGTTTAGAACCCATGATCACTGTAAGATTCCCCTCTATCATATACACCGTGATCGAATCAACCCCTACTATTTTCTAAGATCTAGGCCTAGTTTCAAAAAGTACAGGACAACAAAATCATTAGGATTTGGAAACAAAACATACACGGAACCTGAAACTTAGCAAAGACTGCAAAGGTTTCTACTCATATAATTGCGGTTCCAATTTTCAACACCAGTTTCTATCAAAAGAAACTTATGATCAATCAAGAGGAAAATCCAAAAAATAAAGGAGTAGAAACACAGCCATGATCGTTGATATTTTGGGCCTACCGTACCGAAGCTGCATTCACCACTGCGGCAAACCCATTTCGAATCATGAATTGCCATCCAGGCAACTAATGCTTCTGGCAGCTTCTCCCTAGAAATTGACGACTTTCTTGTAAACTCGATGATGCCCCTTTGTTCAAAAGCTACGAAACAGATACCCAAAATGAGATAGATATGAAGAGAACAAATCAACTGAAGTCAGAGAGGAGAAATCACCTCACAACAAAAGCCAGCAAATCCGGGTATCATAATCCTTTCGGGATCGCACAAAACTCGCATTAGGTTGCTCTGAGTTCCGTCGGTTTATGAAAATAGAAAGGGGAAATGTGTTAAAAACCCAAATATTTGTTTAGGTGAGAATTAAGAATATAAAAGCAAAGCTCCAAGAAAAAAATCATGATGAGAGCTAACCGAGAATCAGAGCCCATCTGAGTTGGGAAGGTTGTCGATATATCATGAATCTCATCCGAAAAATTGATAGTCTGACCATACGAACTGCCAAGAGCCTTCATAGATGAGAATCCCTGTGAGCACAGAATAGGGGGAGAAAATTGGAGACCAGCGTTAAAATTATACGCAACTAAGGATCGCAGAAAAGAGAGACGAAGCAAAACCATCAAATTGATCTCACTGGAACCTAACCAGTCCCTTGGATTGCTGAAACCTCTCATCTTGAGCGCTTCATAACCTAACAACACAACATGCAAAAAGCTCAAATAAGAGAACAAAGGTCATCAACATTTCAGGCAACAACTGTCTTACTTTATTCTGAGTGTGAGCAGATTGGGATTGACTAACCTAACTAAGGAATATCAAAAACTCATTACGCGAAATCCTATTTTTTTAGAACGCGTTGAAGGGGTAGGGGCCACCGGTTCAGGTACAAGAGACTATCATTACCACCTGGACAATTAGACATCCAACCCGTAATCGCAACGACCCAATTGCAAGAGCGGAGCTCTACAACACTTCTCAGTTTGGGCCTAATTTTTATCCTATATACTATGTTTGTATGGTGGAGCGATGTCTGGGCTCTTCTACTTCATTTTTTTTTTAATATTCCCTTCCGTTATTCCTTAAGTACCGGTAGCACAGCCGAGACAGCGACGGGTTCTCTGCCCTGCGGGGATGGAGCGACAGAAGTTTTGAGAATTCAAGAGAAGGTCACGGCGAGACGAGTCGTTTATCAACCTACCTCCCAGACTAAGGGAAGAAGGTCTCCGATCACTGTAGTTCGAGCCCTTTTGTTAAAGCAGTTCCTGTACTCTATTAAGGAATAAGACGTCTGAGAAGGCGAAAAGAAATGGAATCTGGTGTCAGTAGTACTAAGGCACCTGATATCTAGGAGGTGTGCGCAGTGACATAGTTCAACCTGTCATTCCTCAGCGACTGATTCAAAGAGCCGACTTGAGATCATAACTGCTTACAGCAGCGCTCCTGGCGCGAGACTCTTTCGCCGTTAATGAATTCGGTAAGGAAAGGAAGTGTGTTTGTTCCTTGATCCCAACACGCAATACCCTTTCATGTCGTTCCAAATCCAAGCTGCAATATTCAGAGAATTAAAGTTAAACCCAAGCCATCAATAGCAAACAAAAGATGAAATTCGGGAAGTCAAATCTAATAAAGCAACCACGACCCAAAAAATATAAGATTCGTTAATGCAAGACGAACCTAACCTTGGCCGATGTTTTCTCTGACTGCAAATTTCTTGATAGCATATCCCACAAAGAAATTGAATGAATCGGTCCTATGAAAGAAAGAGGCGGGATCAATAAAAAATGGTAAATATCCAAGGGTTAATACCCTAGTTTGGCTCGAAGTTTAGCGTTAGTGACCGTTCTGGTCCCATTTTTCAAATATGACATTTATGGCCTACTTTTGAAATTATTGGACAAATTTGGCCTATGATTTAAATTGACCGTCAAAATTAACGGTCAACTATTTTTCCGTCAGTGACTGAGCATCAAAATGCTGAGGTGGATCCGAGATAACTGCCACATCATTTTTTTAGGTTGAAAAAATTCAAAAACAAAATCTTAAAACAAAATAAAACAAAAAAACCAAAATCCAATCTTCACCCTAACTCCCTCCCCTCACGACCCAATTCACTACCCTCCCCACCCAATGGATTTCCTAAAATCTTCACCCATCCTCCCTACCCATCTCGCCACCATTTCCATCTCTAGCTACCTCCATTCCATCTTCCCTGTCCTTCTTTTTGTCCGTCCGCTTCTGTTGCTGCTCACTCGAGATCCCGTCCACAAGATCACAAGCCGATGCTCTCTGTCTGTCCTTATTTCTCTCCTCGTCGGGCTCAAGACGGTTCCTCTTCCGCGGAGGCGATGGGAGCGCTGACGGTGCAACGCGCGTGTTTGGTTCGATGATGGAGAGAAAGAAGAGAGGGAAGGGGATGGATTGTCGGATCTCCCTGTCCCAGATCTGCCGATCTCGTTGTCGAACCATTAGGCGGCAAGGTGATCCAAGGGAAGAAGAAACAACCAGAGATTATGGCGACAGAGGCGAGCTAGCTTGGACAGCACCGACGCGTCCTGGGTGGCGTCAACGTTGGGGATTGTCTCGAATCGGCGGCGGCGGGTTTGGCAAGAGCACGGCGGCGGCGGGTTTGGAAAGAGCACGACGGCGCTGGGTTCATTTGTTTAGAGCATCGATTTGGCGAGGGGAGAAGAAGACGGCGGGCGGCGGCACTGGGTTTTGTTAGCGGCGATTTGGCTGGGGAGGGGCTGGTGGTGGGTCTCTAATTATTTAGGGTTATGTGTATTTGGGGAGGATGATGGAGAAAGAAGATGAGGAAGGGGAAGAGTGGTCCGTGCCCCTTCTCTCTCTCTTTTTTTTTTTTTGCTTTTTATTTTATTTTAAATAATAATGACTTGTTTTGGTAAAAATAATGATGTGTACACATCCAGTCAGCACAGTATGTTGAGTTACTAACGGAGATAATAGTTGACCGTCAATTTTGACGGTCAATTTAAATTATAGGCCAAATTTGTCCAATAATTTCAAAAGTATGCCATAAATGTCTTATTTGAAAAATGAGGCCAGAACGGTCACTAACGCTAAACTTCGGGCCAAACTAGGGTATTAACCCAATATCCAAATTGAAACAAACAACTGGGAACAAAACGATTGAGGCCACTGATGAGGAAAAAATGAAACAAAATTCTAGAGATCAAGAGCTCACCAAAAGATCCCATGATTTCCTCGACTTCAACTGGACTCCGGCCGAACCACCCTCGCCCGGACTGAACGAATCGCCTGGCTCAAATCTCCGTTCAGCCCCGGCCGATCGTCGCAGCACACGCTCAATCTCATCATCTTCTTCTTCCCATCTCTGCCGCCGCAACATCTCACCGTCGCCTCGCCCGATTCCCCCGGGATCAAACACCACGGTTCAGCTCCGTTCAGCCCTGCTTGCTTCTTCAGCTACCTCAAGTGGTCCACCGCCTCTGCTAGCAGCGACGCCTTGTCCGGATGCTCATCACCAAAACACCCCCAATCGCGTCAATCAATTGGAATTAGCTGGTTTAGTGTGCAAAAAGTTTCGTCAAAGAAGAAGAAGAAGAAGAAGTGCAACTGATTAATTGATTAACCTTGACGCACTTGGGGAGGAGAGAGCGGAGGGTGGAGAGGTGGGCGTTGATACGGTGGCGGGTTCTTGGAGATTTCCTAGTCGCTGGTTCTGGGAGATTTCCTAGTCGCTCGCAACCACAATCTGGATCTTCCTCGCACCCTCCCTGATTCTTTGTTCCAAATATTGTCTCTCCGGAGATGGATTTCGTCACCGGTGGGTTCTGTTGAGGCGGTGGGGATGGCGAAGGCGGCGGCGACAGAGGAGGTGGGGATGGTGAAGGCGGTGGAAACCGTGGAGGTGGAGGAGGCGACAGAGGAGGTGGCCATTTTGAGAGATTGAAGAGAGAGAGAGGAGAGAGAAACTGAGATGAAAAATGGGGGATGAATGCGTACAAATGGAATAAAGCACCTAATAAATTAGTTCTCACCTCCTACAAAGCAGAGCTCTTCTCCCAACGCATCCTTATCAATTAGATGATGAAAATCATCGATCATCGCACCGGTCAGACAGAGGCACACTAACCAGGGGCATATTGAGGCCTCCGAGAGAAAGGGGGAAAAGCAGAGACAGTAAAAGCAGAGAAAGAAGGGGATATCAGAGTTCATTTGAGGGCAACGCACTCTCCAAAGCAAGCACATGCAGGCTGCAGTGTTCCCAAAGCAAGTCAAAAGTTGCGGCAAGACACGCTACCATATTGTTGGACAAAGCGCACCGGGGCCCACCGCAGAGTATGAACCAATGGGAGGAGGGTGAACAGTAATTTTCAGTCTAAATGAATAGTAATTTCGTGTCTAGGCGAACAGTAAATCATGTCTTTGCAAATAACTTCCGGCGTTTGGTGGTTATGTGCCAGAATTGTGTGGCTCAACTGTGGGCCCGTTGGGCACACTTATGGAATGGTCTCGGTACCCTCGTCTCCAATACTTCTGCAGGCCTCTTTCTGGCCCAAAACTCTTAAATGAATGAAACAAACAGGTCTGATTATCAGAAAAAAGGAAGAAATAAAGTATGATACTCCCAAGTCGACTCTCCCTTCTCCATCCACACTCAGCTCCACCGCTTAGTCTACTAGTCTTCAATCCGTCTCCGCCGCCCTCTCCAGTTCGGCGCTGCCAAACTCCATCTCCGGCCCACCCAAAGTTCCGACTTCAGTTCGTCTCCCGCTTCAACTACCGATTTCTCTCCCAGTCGATCCATTCGTCGGCTTTGCCTTCCGGATATGTGAGTTTAAATTTTTTTTTTTACCGGTACTCGTTTCGTTTATCTATCAATTCCAATTGAAAATAGTTTTGTTAGGCTTCGATTCGATATTGAAAATGTAGGTGGAACCATAGTCGTTTGTTTGAATTGGAAAATCATCCATCCAGTTGTTTTTTCTTCTTCTTTCTGTTCGATATTGAATTACCCGCTGGGTAGGATATGGGTTTCCGGGCGGGTATTTGACCCGGTAATTTGGAGGGTCGTAGCCGGTGGATGAGGGTATTTGACCCGGCATTGCCATCCCATTGCCTACGCTTTGTCTGTGATCACAGGCCCTACATTCACCAATTTCTGGGTTGCTGCTTGCAGAGGGAGAGTATGCCTTTTTTTCCTTTTCCAGCTTCCAGATAATTGACTCAGACTGACTGCCGGATGTTCTGTTTTTTTAGGGCTGAAATAGTTGTTTCTTTCTCTTGTTCCCTTAGAGCTTATTTTGAAGTCGGTTGGTTGAATGTATAGTGCTCATATGTTAATCACCGGCAATTTCATGAATTTGTAGTCAATAATTAATACAACGCCCAAGTCAGTGATGGAAAAAGTAGATAACTTTATTTAGCTTCTGTCTATAGAAATCTCCTGCTATGGCTTCCAATGGTTCAGACCCTGTGGAGCAGCAAAAATCTCCCCAGAAGCTGCAAATATACTCTACTTCCAGCAATGGAGTCAATTCTTTCTGGAGAGGTTTTACCTTCTCTTGTGATACCCCCTCTTCTATTTTGTTGCCCTTTATATTTTACATCGCTTCTGACTGGCAACATTGGTTCTTTGGCAGACAAGTACGAAAGGGATGCGAAGAAGTATTGGGATGTATTCTATAAGCGACACGAAGACAGAGTAATTATCTATCTTTCCATAAAGCTCATACTTTGTGAACTCAGGCAAAGCTCAATCTGGTTATTTATTTCCTGTCGCTGCATTTATGTGTTATTTTTTAATTCAAATGATGAAATTTCTGTGCTTTGTGAGTTTGTGATTTCTTTCCTTTCGTGTTTCCCGACTCTTCTTTGTGTCGTTTTTTTTTTGTGTTTGTGTCAGTTTTTCAAAGATCGGCATTACTTGGATAAGGAATGGAATGGCTACATCAGCGTGAGTCAATTATCTGAAAGTACATTTTTATGCGTTTGATGATTATGTGGAATTGTTAATACGTATTGTAATTTGTGTGCAGGGTCCTGGCCGGAAAGTCATTCTAGAGGTACTTGATATCTCCCTCAACTGGTTATGGATACTTTTACTAGTTGCATCTCACATACCCTGATGTGCAGGTTGGATGTGGAGCTGGGAACACCATCTTTCCTCTTATTGCTACTTATCCAGAAGTTTTTGTTCATGGATGTGACTTTTCACCCCGTGCTATCAACTTGGTCAAGGTGGAGTATGTTGTTCTCATTTGCCTTTTTATTACAAGTTTCTGTCAATCAAAGCTGAGTTATGCATTTGGATTTGATGCTTAGATGGTAGTGAATTTTGGCCAAATCTTTTTTTGCACCGCTGATCATGATGGTAGTATTTTATTGTTGCAGGCACATAAGGACTACACTGAGACACGTGTTGGTGCATTTGTGTGTGATCTTACTGCTGATGATTTAAGCAAGGAAATATCTCCATCTTCAGTTGACGTTGTCACAATGGTACTGGAAGTGAAGTTACTATATAATAGTGCCAAGGGTTTCTCAAACTTTGCTGTTATAGACTTCGTAAAATGTGTTGAGTTTTTATTCCACAGATATCCTCAGTTCTCTGTCTTCTGTTTTTCGGGATTTGGTCTTAGTCCAGTGTCCATTTTCCTTTGTAACCATCTAACATTTTAAACAGATTTTTGTACTATCTGCAGTGTCACCTGAGAAAATGCCTCTTGTTCTTCAGAACATTAAGAAAGTTCTAAAGGTGATCTATTATTGAAGTTTGATTTACCAACCTTGGATCTTAGTTGTGATTTCAGTCTGATGTTTATCATTTTTTCCAGCCAAATGGTCATGTGCTGCTTCGTGACTACGCAACTGGGGATCTTGCTCAGGTTGATACTGCTCTTCCATTCGTACCATTCGTATCTCAGTCTCATAATCTAACATGCTCTTAGCAATTGGTTTCTCATCATTCATACCCCATGAATTTCTGCCTGCTCTTTTATTTTCCTTTTTCTTATTTACCAATCTTCCTCTTCCTCCATCCCTGCTTTTGTTTACTAAGTTGTTCTTTTTCCTTTGGTCTTTTCTTGATAGGAACGGTTCTCTTCAAAGGATCAACAGATTAGTGATAATTTTTATGTTAGAGGCGATGGCACTGTGAGCTTACTTAGTATCTCTGTCCTTGTCTCTCTGTTTTCTGCCATTCTTATTTCACTTGCTCACTAGCCATCCATCTGTCATTTTTTCAGCGTGCTTACTACTTTTCAAATGATTACTTGAAAAGTTTGTTTGAAGAAAGTGGATTCAGGGTAGAAGAGCTTGATGTGTATTGCAAACAAGTAGAGAATCGTTCACGTGAATTAGTGATGAACAGGTACACAACAATGGCAACTGTAATTAGTAGGGAAGTGACAAAACTGTTGTTCTTGGTATACAGTGTTGTCTTATTCTGAAAAACAACTTCAACACCAATTATTGCTTTTATTTGTTTCAATCACAGACGTTGGATCCAGGCTGTATTCCAGTTTGCAAATTGTTCTAATTCCTCTGGCAAAGCTTCAATGAACAATGACCACCTTGGCCTAGGAAATAATAACTCGCTGGTCAAAGAAAGTACGACAGATGAGGAAGTTGACATATCACAAGGGTTGGCAGCAGAAATGTTCGGAATGCTACCTTCTAAGTATGATGAGGTACTTGTCTTTGATGGTCTGTTTTAATAACTTGTGGTGTAAATCTAGTGATATGTCAAAATAGGTAAGTTGATGTGGTAGCAATTGGTTTGTCTTTGTTATTTGTTGTCTATGAGCTGCTTGTCTATAAATGCAATTGGTTAGTCCGTGGGCCTACTGATCCATAAGTTTTCTTCACAATAATCTACTGAAAGCATTTCTTTGTTCAAAGACAGTTGAGGTGAGAGTTGGAGATCAGAATCAACTTACTCTCCAAAGAGTACCAGCACACCTGTAGGTCAACTGGCCTGATGCTGTGGGAGTCTGCTCGTTTGATGTCATCCATTATTGCTGGGAACCCATCTATTGTCGCTGGGAAAAAGGTGCTGGAGTTGGGTAGTGGGTGTGCCGGGATATGCTCGATGGCTGCTGTTCAGCGAGCTGACCTCGTTGTTGCAACCGATGGAGATGCAAAAGCACTTGATCTGCTTGTGCAGAATGTAGCTTCTAACCTTAGCGAACCATTTGTTTCTATGTTGATTACAATGAAACTTGAGTGGGGAAATAAAGAAGACACGGATGCCGTTAAGGAACTCAATGCTGGCGGCTTTGATGTCATTTTAGGCACAGATGTAACATATGCTTCTGATGCTATTTTGCCTTTGTTTGCAACTGCAAAGGAATTAGCTGCACCCAGCAGGGATGGAGAGAAGAAGGAACCTGCAGCACTCATCCTCTGTCATGTCGTACGCCGAGTTGATGAGCCATCTATAATTCTGGCTGCATCTAGATTCGGGTTCACCTTGGTGGATAAATGGACAGCAGCTGCACCAAGTCAGTCGCAGAGCATCATCGGTTCTTGGTTCCTGAAGAGTGGTTGTGAGATTTATATCCCATCGAGGGCACTGAACATACTGTACTTCCAAGCTGGAGCTGGAAACTAACAGTGATAGGTACCGAAATTTTATGGATTTGATTTGGTTGAAAAGTGACCAACCCTACGTTTTTTACAAAATGGAAACAAACATCCTAAATGTCTATGTTTCATAGTTTGTGACCATGCAAATTTTCCTAATTTACAATCAAAATTTCTGAACCTATTCGTAAAAGTAGTTACTAAATTGCGAGGAAAAGTAAATTTGATTATCAAAATATAAAATTTCAGAAATTGTAGTATGTGACATTAAAATTGAAAAATAAAATAAAAACATAAAATTTAAAATAACAATAAATTACAGAGAGGTGATTTAAAATGCTCCTAGGCCTGGATTAGGATTTTGTTTCGGTTGAAATTGGTCTGTCCACCGTGGATACCTACCGCTGAACTCCTCGCCACCTGGATTGCCAATGTACTTGAGGTGATCCAGCTGGGCCCAGCCCGAACCAAATATCCGGCCCACCCGGCCTGTTGGTACACCGTACACACTTCTTAATAAAACTGAGAAAGGAGTGTGGCAGAGGAGCAAAACGGATAAAGAAAAGAGCAGAGACAAAAAACAATGGCAGCAGGAGCTGGAACCGGCGGAGGGACGACGGCAGGGGTGAAAGCCGTGGCTATCATCGCCGGAGACCCTAAAGTTAGAGGCTTTATTCAGTTTATCCAACAACCCACTGGTGAATTAGTTTCTCCTATTGCTTCAATCATTAATACTACAGCTTTGAACGGGGAATGAAAAGTAGATTTCTTCCGTTTTTTTCACTTTCAGGTGCTACCCTTGTGGCTGGGAAGATAACAGGACTATCTCCTGGCTTCCATGGCTTCCATATCCACGCTCTCGGGGACACCACCAATGGCTGCAATTCGACTGGTAAGTAAGGATTTGATGAAAACAAAGTAGAAAAGTTTCATCCCAAACAAGAATATTTCTGCTGCCTGCGTGCGGATGGTATTCTGTTTTGCTGGAATCAGTGATTGTTCCCTAAGGTTTGGTTTTGCGATGATTTGGGTCGGATTAGGACCTCACTTCAATCCATTAAAGAGGAGCCATGGATCTCCATGGGACCATGAACGTCATGCTGGTGATCTGGGGAACATCCTGGCTAATGAAAATGGTATGATTTGGGGTTTTCTGGTTTACAGGACGTGAGTTCTACTAACCTGTGGCTAAAGTTTTCTAGCCCCTCTCTATCTCTCCTAGTTTTGAGCTTCTCCTTTCTGTATTCAGGAGTTGCTGAAATTTCAATCGAAGACACCCAGGTATTTCACATATATCAACATGGGATGGTTGGCCGACTGGTCTTCAAAATTGCCGCATCCTCTATTCCTCTTAGTATCTGCAATCTGGATTGGTATCGAGAAGTCGTATTTGTTTGAATAGCTGGAGTCACTGGTGATTCTGGACTTTTGCAGATACCACTGGCCGGACCGAATTCGATATTAGGGAGGGCTGTTGTTGTGCATGCTGATCCTGACGATCTGGGAAAAGGTAAGGATTCTCAGGTTTGGATGCAAAATCAGGAAATCCAAACCGCTCCAAAGTTTGGAGCTTTTTCTTATTTAGATATGCTTTTGGTGGAGAACACTCACTGCATTGCATAAAGCTCTTTACTTTAGTATTTGGGAAGTGAATGGTTTTGGCCAATTGCATTAAAGCGGTTAACTTTGTATCTGGACGAATGAATAATATGCAGGTGGACATGAGCTTAGCAAGGCTACTGGAAATGCTGGTGCAAGAGTTGGTTGTGGTATACCTCACATGCTTCTCTCTAAACCGTGGAGTTGACGGCTGCAATTTTTGTCCATTACGTTCATATGAATTTAAGCACTCCTGTATGCAAAAGAGACTAACATCTGTGTTATGTTTGAATCCGTGGCAGGCATCATCGGCCTTCAATCTTCTGTATAGATCCGACTCTACGCGACGTAAAAGTACCAAAGGGAGAAGCTGCTGCAACAACAAACTTCCTCTGGAATGAAATGTGTAATATTAACAACAGCAAAAATGAGTGTTAGGACCTTGATCTGGCCCTATATGCTTTTACAACTTCATGTATAAGCTTGCTAGATATGTCAATTATATGGTTATGCTGATTCTTTAAAGGGTAGAAGACTGAGACCTATTATGGGACATGCAATGCATTACAAATGTATGATCATTACGCTTCAACCGTTGCAAGCAGGTAATTGGCTAGAGAGGCGTTAACCAGCCTGAATCAGTGCACATACTGACATACATATGAATATGATAAATCATAATCCAGAAAGGAACATCCATTTCCATAAACACCAACGTTTAACGGACAACAAAACCAGTCATTGCTGTTTACTGTTCAACCTACAAGAAGATCAAGACAACCCCAGAAAGGTTGTTTCGCAGTACAAAGTCGATAGATCCTTCGGCCATGTTTGGCAAGTGGAGTATAAAACATCACAATGAAGCGATGGGTCCTCCGCACATTTCTTTCCCTTGTTGGCAATAAAAAAAAAAATCTTAGTGACACAAGTTATCTGCTCAACCATGTGTTTCTGTAAGATGAGTTGTCACGAAGGGAAGCATCATGGGGCTTGTACTCCATAACGTAGCTGTGGGGAAGCTTCAAATGCCTCTTGATTGAGTCTCTAAGAGACATCACAGCCTAAGATCGTAGCCAAGCAACCACAGTTAGGGCACAAGTAGTGTAACCTCTTTCGCTCCCATAAAAGTGGGGAGTCCTGCAATGGCTCAAATGTAGCAAGAGATGAAAGAAAAAGATGAACGAAAGGGGAAGAATTGTTAATGACCTGATGATCAGATGCATTCCGATTCCATACACTCAGTATATCTTCATTGAATCGGATGCTTAATACTGCACCACAAATGCTATCGCTGTACTCAAGTTGGTCGCCTACCAAGGCAAGAACCTGAATGCAGAAGTTGAGACTCGGAGATGAGTTATTAATTGCCGAAGTGTTTGAAGCCACAGTGGGATTAAAATATGTGACAAAATTTCACCATCCACAACCTATATTGAGGAAAAGATGATGACAACATGAACAAGCCCACAGGTTTTAAATGGCCTAAAGACAATTTCTAGCACAACTACCAATGGTATATAGAATGATGCATGCTTTGCTTGCCATAATACAAGGATCCTGAAAATTTTGCTCTTACCAGATCCTCCCAGAAGCGTCCCGAGACAACCTTCTTGAATCGTATTATCCATTTTCCACCACTGGAATTAGCACTGTCCTGTTATCAATTTCACAAAACAAGGTGATGAAACAATGAACTTAGATCACACAATGGCTTATGCTACTGGCAGATCTTGGATTGAAGCTTTACCTCCCACAAAGGGCGAATACCCTCCTTGAAAAGATGCAGATCCGTAGGGCTTGGCAGAGACGAGGGGCGAGCCAAGTGGCAATAGCAGACCCAAAAAGTTTCAACCTGCAGAGAAGATCCAGTCAGAAATAAGAGGGGGAAATGAGAGATAGAGCTTCAGTTAGTTATAAGGACGTAATACCAACCACATAAAAAAAAATTATCGGAGAAAGGACTTACCGTACTAAAACCAACTATTTTCTTTATATTGTCTTCATATGAGGTCTGTGTTCTGACTCCTGGTGTCCGGCGAGTGTACCAAAAGACATACTTGTACTGGTCATATACACATTGAGAAACATAAGCACCATTTTAACATCAGAGAGGAAAAGTAGGAATATAGTCTAATAAAACCCATGAAGCAGCTTTGTAACTTTCAGAAGCCTAATAAATTAGTAACAATTCTAACATCTTGCACTTCAAGCACAAGTTTCATAACAATGATAAGGCATACATTCAGATGCTCGCACCAACCAGATATGCAATGCATTAGATTCCAATTCTGGTGCTGAAACTTCTCATGAGATAAGAAGCCTCGCAACATATAATAAACCACATCTAATTTGAAGAGCCCACATCAGAGCTGCCATACTATTGTCTCTTCCTAATCCCAATTTCAAAGAACCCAGACCCCGATCGAAACAATAAGAATTCAAGACAAAATGTGAAAATTTTCAAGTATTCGGCTATTTGCATCCCAGAATTAAAAACACGTATAACATCATTCATGGATGGTACACTCCAAACCAGCAATTTCTCTCTGACCCTGAAAATCCAACCAATCCAAAATTCGTCCTCGCAGAATATAAGGCCAATCAGGCAGCACGAAAGCTAGGGAACCCGAGTCCAATATGCTGCTCGAGCCTGTGAGCTAAATTAATCCCAATCGTATTCTAAGACTCCCATTTCATTTCAAGTATAGCCACCCCATTCGTCCTCCAACCGGGCAAAAAACAGAGGGTAATTTGTAAAGATTATCTGCCCCGTCATTCTTCTCAAATTCAAACGAGAAACAAAAAAACATCCTACATCGGACTAAGCACTTCATCAGAGTTGATCGACAGGCATCGCAGAATCATCCTAATCAACAGCAAAACCCAACCTGAAACAGCATATAATATATATAGAGAGGGACCTTGAGAGGGTGCAAACCGGCTTTGAGTTCACGCGCTTGGCGCTCTTCTGCCTCTTTATCGACGACGTCGGAGGCCACGGAATCGGCGCCTAAAATCGATTGCGCGTTGTTATGATCCTCCACCTCCTTCTTCTCCACTATTTCCATCACCTGGGCTGTGATTATATTTCTCTGCCTTCAAACCCTAATCCTCAATATTTTCTCCGTATCTTTCCCGGCGTTCGTCCTGTGTGTGTGTGATATCCCGCGGAGAAGAAAAGAGAAGGAAGGAAGAAAGAGAGGACAAGTCAACAACAGAAACGTCGAGACGGGATGTCGTTTAGGAGATGGGAATAAAGCTGGGCCTAACTATTTTCAACGACCCATGTAAACATAAATGGCCCAGCCCAACGCGCAGAACCAAATATACCACATCGGCAACGAGAGGGAAGAAGAAGTAGGGCTGCAATTTGCAAATGAGCCGAGCTGTTTGCAAGCTGCTCGACGTTCGACTCGGGAAAATCTCGTTCGAAATTCGGCTCGTTTTTTAATGAGCCGAGCTTGAGTTTAGCCTTCTGCAGCTCGTGGAGCTCGCGAGCTAGCTCGACTCGGTGGCTTGTTGAGCTCAACTCATGAGCCGCCTCGTTAAGAGCTTATGAGATGTCTCAACTCTCAAGATTGTGGCTAGATAGCCAACTCGATTACCGAGTTATGAGCGAATCGATCTATATGACTTTGATTTTAATAATTCATAGAATTGTTAAATTATATATCTCACTCTATATGAAGTTTAACACGTAGATTATGTGAGCAAATATGTTTTATTTAATTTTAAAAAACAATTATGTATCATAGATTGCTTTGATACTGTGAAATAACATAATTTTCACAAATTAAAATTTATTAATTAAATAATTTGATATCACAAAGTATAACATAAATTTAGTTAATATTGAACCCTTAACTATTATTATTATTTTCTTCATCTTGGCATTAATCGCATGTATCATGTATTACATACAAAACGAATATATCAAATAAGAGTCAAGATTTTATTAAGCAAGCTAGCTCGCAACTCGACTCGGCTCATTAATAAACGAGTCGAGCTCAAACTCGACTCATTTGTTAACGAGCCGAGCTCAAGCTGAGGAAAACTCGACTCGACTCGGCTCATTTGCAGCCCTAAGAAGAAGGTCTTCATAAGATCAGGGTATAACATTAGTCACCATAGTGATTGGAAGTTTGTTATCGGTATTTGAGATGATTCAAAATAGCATAATAAAATTTTGACTACTTGGTATTACCAAATATATATATATATGGCGAGTTCTACGGTACCCCGGCCGAAATCCGGGGTACCGCATACCTTGAGTATGAAAACACTATCTAGACCTTGAATTGATCGATCTTACGGACATGATACTATACTCTAACACTTAAAGATCAAAATCTAGGTGTTAACTCTCCCAATCTTATACTCCAAGATCAATTTAATTAGAAATAATAATCGACGTTATGATTAATCCAAATATAGGCACAAAAAGGAATGTACCATCTTAGGGTTTATAGATTATGATTTAGATAATCATGACCTAGGGTTCACTCATTAAGGGTTAGGGTATAATATCAGACACAAAAATCCTGGTAATTCGAGGTCTAGATAGAGTTTCCATACTCGAGGTATGCGGTACCCCGGATTTCACCCGGGGTACCATAGAAGCCACCATATATATATATGCACCTAAAAATATTTTTTTAGGTGCTTAATTACAAGTTTGGTCACTCGAATTGTTATAAAATTTCACGTTTGCCACTCGAATTAATTTATTCCATTTATAGTCACTCGAATTAGTTGAACAGTCCAAGTTCGATCACTCTCCGTTAGACTCCGTTAATGACGATCGTTAAGTGATGACGTGGCTAACAGAAAATCACAGTCAGCATAATTTAACACTAAAGAACGACAACCCGACCCAATTAATTGACCCAAACCCCAGACCCAACCCCCCTGAAAAATAAATCGAAACAGAAAGGGTAGTGCACTTTCTCTCCCCCCTGAAAAATAATTAGACCCAACCTTCTCCAACCTCCGCCGCAGCGGCAGCGCTCTCCCGATCCACCCCGCGCTCAACATTCCCATTGCCTGGACCGCCCTCGGCTCCACCAGATCCGCCTCCACACCCACCTTCCTGCACCAATTCGCGAAAACGGCCCCGATCTTCCCCTCGCAGGCTCCATATCTCGGCGCCGCGTTGTTGCTCCTCAATCTCTGTTGCTGGTCCATCATCTTCGCAGTGGAGGTCCTCGATTCAGACGGATTGGAGGACGAGCAGCAGGAGATTGAGTCCATCTCTTGCTCCGAAGAAACACTCTCCACCTCCGATGAGGAGCAGGAGGCGCAGGCGGCGGAGTGAGGAAGGGATCTGGGTCTGAAAAAGGAGTTCTGGGTGAGGCAGTGATAGACCAATAATTACACTTGTTTTTACCCCTATTCTTGAGTAGTTTGAGAGGTTGATTCTCGTGTTTTAAGCCGATTTCACGCGAGGTTGTGCATTTATGTCATATTTCAGGGCCCGGTAACGAGTTTTGTGTCGTAAGGAGCGAAGTTGGGTCGAAGTGTGCTGCAGGAGGAAAATGCCCGGTCATGGGCTCAAATACCCGACCGGGTATTTATCATTTTTGGCGTCTGAGAAACAGAAGGGGTCCCGGTCGTGAAGCATAAATCCCCGGTCGGGGATTCTTAAAGAAGACCGGGGATTTTTCTCTTCTCTTAAACGCGCGTTTCAATTATACCCGGTCGAGACCCAAAATACCCGACCGGGTATCGCGACAGTCGGCCTTTTAAAGGAAAAGAAGGCCAAAAATCAAGGGTTCCGAGTTTTAGAGAGACAGAGCGATTCCTAGAGAGAGAGAAAGCGACGAACCAGAGTTCCCAAGTGCCATAGCTAGATCTTCATCACCATTGGAGCCCGGCTTGAGTTTGGAGAAGTGCCGATTGACAACCAGGAGCAGAAACTCATCCTTCACAGTATGATTTTCGCGTCTGAATCTGCTTTTGCTTCTCTCTCCATGGAGTAGTTTTCCCATTCATCTGGGTATGGAGAACCCTAAATTTGTATGTTAGGTCTGATTGTATGAACCCAAGTACAGATTTCATGAGTTGATTATATTCGATTGAGGCTTGAATGATTGAATGACTTGAATCCTGATTAAATTCCTGTTGTTTCTGCTTTAACCTAGAATGAGAATATCTGCCTAGGTTGATAGAGCACCCTTAATTGAAGGTGGCGAACTGGTGACTTTAGTCGATGAGCCAATTCGCTATTCTGTACCGAATTCAATTCGGTAGTGGAGGTTTGGTTCGTTAGGGCCTCAATCTGTTTACTCCGGTGGAGGTTAGTCGCCCGCTGGAGACTCAGATTGAGAGGGTTTGGAAACCTTTAGTCGAGACCTCAGACTGTTTCAGAACCTTCCGCAGTATAACTTTCATGGAAACTGAACTTGGTAAATTGCAATCCGGCTTAACTGCAGTCTAGGGGGAACCATATCCGGGTACCTCTCTCGACTTGAAACAACCGTTTAACTTGCTTTGTGTTTTTGCTTGTTTGAACCTGCACTTAAGTTTTACTGCTAGATAATAAGAATTCACTGAGTAGTCATCACATCTAGGACCCGGGTTGACATTAAAACCCAAACCCGCTATACTACGCTTTAGGAAGTGGTTTCACTTGGCCATTTTCTAGAGTGACAGTAGGAGTGAGTCAGGCAGCGGCAGTTCCGGCAGAGCAAGAGGCGGAGGTGGCGGGAGACGAGGAAGTTGGCGTTGTGAACTCTGGCGTCGCAATGGAAGCAGAGGAAAGCGTTGGAGTTGCAATAAACGTCCGACCCTCCTACCCTTTCCGTTTCGATTTATTTTTCAGGGGGGTTGGGTCTCAGGTTTGGGTTTGGGTCAATTAATTGGGTTGGTTCGCGGGTTGGGCAAGAAGGGCTGACATGGCGGGTAAATATGATGTGGCGGGTCGGGTCGTCGTTTTTTAGTGTTAAATTATGCTGACTGTGATTTTCTGTTAGCCACATCATCACTTAACGGTCGTCATTAACGGAGTCCAACGGAGATTAACGGAGAGTGACCGAACTTGGACTGTTCAACTAGCTCGAGTGACTATAAATGGAATAAATTAATTCGAGTGGCAAACATGAAATTTTATAGCAATTCGAGTGACCAAACTTACAATTAAGCCTATATTTTAGGTATTGAGATTCATTTTGAAGTGTTATTCGGGATTACGGGATTGGGATCGGTAGGAAATACCAAGAAACTACGAAAATTGAAAATTAATGAAATATTACACACAACATTTGGTCATTCATCACTCTTTCACAACTCACGGGGCCCCATCCAACTCAATTTTGGTTTTCCAAGTTTAAGTCACTCTCATCTCTTGTGATTTTCATAACACCCATAAACAAACACTAGTATTAGTTGTCTCTCATCATCCAATCTGTCGAATTAGAGAATAACAATAACAAGAACTTGAAAATATCACATTTCCTCCATTTTCCTTAGCCATGTCCTAACTCTAGGCAAACTCAAGACCATTTGCCTAGTCTTTTTTTACTAAATTAGACAACCGAATCTAATTTATATAACTAATTATTAATTGAATAGGTAATTAATGTAATGTTCAATAATACATATTGGGATATCGAAATATTTAGTGTTTGAGATACCAAAATTATTTAAAGATTGAGATTGTAATTGATTTTAGGGTGTAATTTGATAGTCGAGATTTTGACATTTAATATCGGAATACTGATTCTGTACTGATTTCCATCCTTAGCCACCACGACCTTGCTTTAACAGGATCTACCTTTGTATCCTTAATCATAGCGTGATTGATGGCAATGATGGTCCTTGATGATCATCAAAACTATAGAGGTCCTTGTCTGACATATTGCTATATTTTTTTCTGCCCTACTACTATATTTGTCTGTATTTTTCCTTCTTTAGATGAAATTATTTTGCCCTACTGCCTCATGACCGGTAGCAGAAAGATATTTTCTTACCTCAACTCCATTTCTAAACAAAATATATTACAATAGTTAAATGGGAACTATAACTTTTTTTATCCTATTATGCTCCTATATTGCAGTTTTCCTTCTTTAAATGGATTTTTTCCCTGCTGCTTCATAACTATCAGTAGAAAGATATTTTCTTACCTCAACTATATTTATAAACAACATATATTACAGTAGTTATCATCACCTGCATATACCCAATTGCAGGTTGACTACCTGGATCCACAACGCAAAGTAATTTCACAATTGGAGCTATCAACTTAACTACGAAGTCACATTCACCCCAAAAGCGTTAGATCTAGTATGATTGGCTTCGCATCTTTTCCAACCTGTATTCTTGAGAAATCACACTCTCTAAAGCATTCACTAATCACCAGAGCCTCCAAATCATGCATTTGCTCAAGAATACTTTGCAAACTCATAAATGTAGTGGCAAATCTAGTAGCATCAAGGTTCACTATTATTTTTTTCAATTCTCATTTGTCTTCAACCAGAAATAAATTGAACCACGAGTGTAAACAAATTTAGATATCTTGGAAGATCGATATGCATGCCTCTTAACATGAGGCATATCTCCGATGTATTTCATGACCAAATTAAGATTATGAGCAACAGAAGGAGTCATCACCATAATGCTCATGTATCATTGACCTTACAGCTTGATAATTGGATGCATTATCAGTCATCACATGCACAACATTCACCACTCCAACCCAATCAATGTTCCACAAAAGAACTAAGGGGTCGTTTGGATGGATCAATTTATAAATGAGTCAATTTGATCAATTATCTTGTTTTATAAATGAGGCAATTAAAACGAGTCAATTCGAATTACCTGCCCCCACCCCAGGTAATTGAAATTGACTCAAAACGGATCAATTCAAAATACCTCAGGCAGATTGATCCATCCAATTTTTTTGCTGGCAAACGAGGCAATTTGGTACAATTGTCTCAAAACGAGACAATTGTGTCAAATTGATCCGTTACAATTCCTCATCCAAACGACCCTTAAAACAAGTTTTTTTCCACTCTTGACCACACCAAAAGCATCAATGAATACCACAAAGCACGTGTCATATTAGTTAACGTGTTTAACCGTCCTAGATAACGGTCAAATCTTGGTTTTGGCCAATGTCGTAACTTTAATGCATAGCTGAGGCCACGATATTATAGATCGAGATTGACAAGAATTTTTAATTTGTGAAAAGTTCGGACTACACAAATATATTAACCATACTGTTAAAAGATAAATAGTTATAACTATCCGGTGTATTTTGCATTATAATATATAATAAGTGACTCATTCTCTTCTTTTTTTTCCCCCTCATCAGCTTCACGTTTCGCATTTATAATTTCTGACCAAACTAAAAATATGTATATACAGTACACTGTACACGCGCATAAACAGTGAGGTCAATTTTTGAAAATAAAAAACCAGACAGAGAGAGAAAGAAAGAGACAGGAAGACGTAAAAACGAATCGGCCAACGAAACGCCATTTTTCCCTCTGCTTCCTGCCTTCTTCCATCTTCATCTTCTGATCAAATCTTCCTTTCTTCTTCTTCTTCTTGATCCCGCTTTTCCTGCTCCCTACTACTTTTCTTTCATTAATCTGGGTCTGATTTTCTTTTATTTCAATTTCCCGGTCCCTCTTCTTTTCTGCCAAGTTTCCCTTTTTGATTTTGTCGTCGGTGTTGTACGTGTTCTCCGATTCCCCGCCTCACGCTTCACAATGTCTCCGGCGGTGTCCGTTTTCCTCCTCCTGCTATCCCTCCGGCTCGCTTCGTCGCCGGCAGCATCGGCTTCCACGACCTGCCCTGTTGAATCGGTTATGTTGCTTTACAATCTTCAATCTCAATGCCATCCTTCGATCTCCTCCAATCCTCCTCTCCAGGTAAACCCATTCCCTCGCTTCTCTCCCTCTTCAGTCCTCCCATGATTGATCAGTTTCAATAAATGTCTGCAATTCGTGAAATTCTGTGCCACTTTGCCTTAATTGATCGATTTTGGTTGGGTGGTGGGAGTGGATTTGTTTATTAGGGTTTGTGATAAAGGAGCTGATAGCCGTTTCTGTACGTATCAAGTTTTTTAGGTTTCTGGGTTCTTGAGAGTAGATTTGAGATTAGGTTTGGAGTTCTTGGTGGCATGGCATCTAGCTAGGTTTTAAGGGATTTGAATGAAGGCCCCAGCTTAAGATTGCATAACTTTAAGAGACCATATTGTTTGATTTGGTTATCCCCGTAAAAAAACCTTCTTCCTCCACCCCCCGGATTACGCATACTGCAGCTCTTGGTGTAAAGCTGTTGAATTTCTTCTTGGTATTGAGTTATGGTGTTCTTTCTTTGGAAAAATAGGTGGATGGGAATTTTCTTGAGAGAGCTTTAAAGTCGGAGTGGACAAATGCTTACTCTTCGCTGCTCTTCTATGCTTCCTGGTGCCCCTTCTCCCGAAGCATGCTTCCTAAATTCGAAATGCTTGCTGCCATGTTCCCTGAGATACAGCATTTGGTTGTTGAAGAGTCTTCGGTTCTCCCAATGTATGGTAACGAAACATTACATTTCACTATTTCTAGAAAATACTTTCCTGTTGCAGCTGAAAGTGTCAAATCTGATGTTTTCCTTCTCTCTGGAGAATCCTTAACTTACTTTAAGTCCCCACAATGTACTACAGGAATAGCTTTGATAAGTTGTAGGATCCTATTATGTTAGTTTATTCGCATTCAGACATCACCTGGAAGCAAATTTGAGGTTGTGATGTAACACTATATATGTCTGTTGCTTGTAAGTTGTATGGATGCTTGTGCTAGTTAGTGTGGATGGACGACTTGTTTTCATATAAAAGATGATTTGTGATGACCCTCCACCATGACTAATAACGTACCTTACACCCTAGAGAACCAAACCTGATTATGCAACCTTTTCAAATAGTTTTGTCTATGTTAGTCATGAGACGGTACTTTGTAGGGGTTCCCTTTTATTGCATTTTGCATACTGCTTTTAGGGATAAGTTGTGTATACCTCCCTTTTCCTTTTCAGCCGTTGTTTGATGATATCTCTCATACATTTCTTGTTCCACTTGTAACTCTTATAATACCTACTGATACATTTCTTGTTCCACTTGTCAGTATATTTTCCAGATTCGGGATCCACAGCTTGCCTGCAATGTTGATGGTTAACCGGACCACAAAAGTGCGATATGGAGGGTCAAAGGATCTTCAGTCCCTTTTGCAGTTTTATGTCAAAGCAACAGGTCATTTCTTGTTCAATGACATTTACATCTTTGTAGTTGACATGCATCTGTAGCTTTAATTCTCGCCTTCTTACTAGACATAAGATGGAACATAAACATATTCGATTCTTCTGGTACTTCTTCTTTACATCTGAACTTTGACAGGACTTGAGCCAGTGCAATATTTGACTGAAGGTCAGGCAACATATTCACCAAATGATGAAAAGAGCATTATTCTAAAGCCCTGGGATGGGTCACCAATGGAAAATATACTGAAAAGGGAGCCTTACTTGGCATTCTCCATCTTGTTCCTCTTCATCCGGTTGGCGTTATTTCTATCTCCTAAACTGTTGTCTCACCTAAAGACATTCTGTACCTCCAAGATTCCCCATCTCAACTTGGGAATATTCGGCGAGACAAGCAGCCAACTGTTTGGCCACATCCTCCACTTGGTAGACGTGAGGCGGGTTTGGACCAAACTTAGACTGTGCAAGACCAGGAATTTCCATGAGGGGGCAAAGAACTGTAGGGTCTGGGCTTCTTCCTTGGCATCGGTTTCTCTGGGGGAATCTTCATCTTCAGCTAGGTCGTGAAACGTCAGAGGAAAGAGTACCCTAATTCTTACTGTGGGAGCTGAAATTCGAGGTTTAGGAGAAAGAGCTATTCGCATCCTTGCTGAGATGGTATCTGTTCCAGGGAGCCGAGATAAGTAGCCTCTCTTCTCTCTCTCTCTCTATCTGTCTTAAATCTCGCCCCCTCTTTTCCGAAGTCTCTCCAATCTTACTTTACTCAATGGGGGAAGAAGCTAATGAGTGATCGATAATAGTTTTCTTTCAAGGGATGTTGTACTTGCTTGTTTTCATGTTATTTCTCCCATGTTGTTCTTCTGGGTCGTTTCTGGGTTTTTAGAGGAAACAAAGAACAAGCAATGTAAATTGAGAACGCAAGAAGAAGCTTTGCTTGCTTAGCTAGCTAGATCGCTTCTCCCCTCCATTTTGTGTATATTACTTCTTTCCCTTCTTTTTTTCTGTTTTGACTTTTTGTAGAAGAAGAATCTCTACACATGTGGAATGTAAGCACGTTTTGCTCCCCTTTTCGCCTCCATACCCTTCTCTCTGTTAATCTCTCTTGTGTCGTCTTGTTCTTTGCTAATGTTATTGTGGTAGATTGGTGTTGCCATCATCCTGCTGGGATTCTCTGGCTGATAGCGTTTTGGTTCATTTCAGCTGACGTTTTGGGGATTGTGGATGAGTATGGTAGTAGAGTCGTCTTCCTAATAATGCAAACTGCAACCATTTTGGGATTGATATGTTTGGTAGTAGTTGCAGATCCAGGACCATTGTTTAAAAGTGACAAGAGCAGGTTCCTGTAATGCGAATTCATTAATGCCTGCTTTCTGATTTCTTGACACTTTTGTGTTGGCTTCTTTTCGCATTTTGCATTAGGAATGGTAGACAGGTAACAGACTTAACAGTATCTGTAGTTGTGAAACCTATTTCCATTATGTTAAAATCTGCTTTGAGGGCCCCAAGGTTCCATTAGGCGAACAGTAAATCTTTCTTTTCGCATGAGATGGAGCGGTTTTGATGGAAAAGATCTCCATTTTTCATATTTGGATATTCTTTGGAGGGTTCCTATTTGCTGTCTGTACATTTACTATCTGCCGTCCATAATTTTAATAAAAATGTCATTTTACCCCTCGTCTATTTTTTTATAACACAAGTCCTCACTCACCACTAGCAGACCACCGCCGCCACACCACCACCGCCGCTGCTAAATCCAGTCTCGGCGGGCGGATCCCGTTCGATCTCGACGGGCGGCTGCGCATTTAGCGACAGTTTCAAAACCGTCACAAAAGCTTGTCGCTAACTGATAATAATTATTTAACTCAACCTTCTGTGTTTTTAATTATTATATTATGTTAATAATTATATGTATGTTTATTTATTATATTTATAAATTAGAAAAATTATAAATTATTCATAAGAAAAAAATTATAAAAAATATTGTACATATTAATTCATAATTATTTTTCAATCATGTAAATAGAGCTAAAATAAATAAATAAATAAATTATAATAGCAACTAAATAATTAGTAATTATCCAAAGTAGTGTATAAGAGATTGGATATCTAATCATAAATTATCATAAATATTGTATAAACTTATGAATAATTCATTTTAATTATGTAGAATAGTTATAAAACATTTATAAATTTTGATTAAACATTTTGAATTGTATTTATTTCATTCTTAATTAGATCATCGTCCCTAAACTATGTTTTATAATACTTCCAAGGAATCGAGGCACGAAGAGGACTCTTTCCGGTTTGGGGAAGGTCGGGCAAAAACATCTTTTAGCAATTACTAGAGTCACCAACATGAAAAATTATTGAAACTTTCATAGATCTCTTAAAATGTGGATACAAATGTGTTGGAATCGATTGTTTCTCAATCGGACATTCCCGGCAAAAAGAGATGAATAGTGCCAAAACTTCCATCGAGGTGTTTTTACTTTTTAGGGCTCTGGGGGCGGTAACTAGGAGTTTCTTGAGCATATCGTGTATATTTCCACGATGCGAAATATTATTGTTAGTAGAGGCAGAGATGATTTTGCATCTAAAATAATGTCATAGTAGGATTGGATGAATCGAGGTTGAAGGTAGCTATTCAAGGGGAATAAGGGTTTAGGGGTTCGAAGAAGTATAAGGTATCGGAGGTGGATGAGATGCTTTCCTTCTTTATTGTCATTATTGGTCCGGTTGAGTCGAGTTGATTCTTATTGTTGTTATTAGTCATCTGAGTGGCATTATTTTAATTGTGGTCAAACCCTAATTCATGTCAAAGCCTACTTTTTGGATCTGTTAGTTAAATGTGGGTGGCATGTTAAAGCGAATGTAATTAGGGAACTATTGTTAGACGTGGGAGGAAGTTTTTAAGGTAGTTAATTAGGAAAATAATCATTTAACGTGAGTTATTGGGGAGGATATTACGTTCCATTGTTAAGTAAGGAAATACAAATTCAATTGGTGGCGATAAATACAAATTAGAGGTTGTTAATTAGAGGCAAAATCATATAATTATTGGTAATCTTGGGTTAGATTTGTTCAACCGTGATTATATTTTTTAACATAATAATATAATTATTAACCTTTAATCTAACTACCATGCTGGTTCTTATTTATTTGAAAAAATAAATATGTTAATAAATTATATTCCATGCGTGTTTGATAACTACCAGACGTGGATTGGGATGTTAATCTGAGAGTGTAATTAGGGAAATAAAATTAGACGTGGGTTATTGGGGATGAATTTATTTCCGATTGTTAATTAAGAAAATAATCATTAGATGTATTAGAGGAAATTACGTTGGGTTGGGTTGTTAAATAGGAAAATACAGTTAGAGGTTGTTAATTACAGAAATTTCCTTTCGAAAACTTATTACTCAAATTTCCTCTTTCGAAAACTTGCCTTAAAAAACTCTCATTAATTTGCTTAATTATCATATTTATAATTATTTCAAACAATATAACTATTTAAATCCTAATTATGGACCATATCTAGTTTTACAAAAAGTCTTAGTTGGAGAGAGAGAGACTTCCTTCGAATCGTTCGCTAGGTTTCGGCCGTCGGTCCTAGAGAATGGCGCCGACACCTGCGCTGGTGCTCCTAGGTCTTCTTCTTGTGTATCCTGTTATTCGGTCTTTGGGGATGAGTTTGATTTCTGGTCCGAATCTGAATTAGAGAGAGGGTAAGCCTACGAAGTCATGGCGGATTTATTTGGCATTTCAGAGGAAAACCGCCTCTGCTATAGCAAGCCTGAAATCGTCAATGGTGGGCTGCGTATGCCGAAGGAAGTGCGTGAGGTTGGAGCTGCTATATGGAAGCTATGCTTGGTGGGAAAGTTTCTACGCCCCCCCCCCCCCCCCAATCGCTGCTCGTCATACGAAGGTGGCCAAATCGCATCTAAGGGCGAGATGGACTAGTTAGGGTTTCGCTTCTCTCTGATCAGCTGTTTCTCATTCAAGTGTTGTCTCAATCTACATTTGATTGGATTCTCAACAGTGGGCCGTGGTTCTACTATGAGAACTGGTTGTATTTGCGGCCATGGGTTTTTGGGATCAGTCATAAGGATATGGGCCGGCAAGCTTTACCTATCTGGTTACGTTTGTCGAATGTGCCTTTAGAGTATGTTGATTTCCAGGGCCTTAGTCGTATTGCGAGCTGGGTTGGGACGCCATTAGGTGTGGATCATACTACGAGAAGAGGGCCTCGGATGGGATTTGCCAGGGTATTGGTTGAGCTTAGGGTGGATGGTGTCTTCCCAGATCATGTTATGCTTTATCCTGACGATGATGCACCCATTCGAGTTGGTGTGGAGTACTGTCATTTACCCGATGTCTGTTTGAATTGTTTGTTGTTTGGTCCATGTGATTGTGGTGGTAAGCCATTGAAGAGAGTCTGGCGAAGGAAGGAAGTTACTCAAGTGGAGACAGTGGTACCTCAGCAGGCAGATAAGGGCAACGGGGTATTGGTAGTTGAGGAGGAGGTTGTGCAGTCAAGTGACGAAGGGTGTTCTGTGGGGATTCAATCATTGCTCATTGGGGTCATGTAGTTGCATACTCTTCCCCTGTGAAGTTATTGGGTACTAATCTGGATAAATCTTTCCAAGAGGCTTTGGAGTCTCCCAAATTGCCTTCGGAGGATGATTTTCAACAGGTTATCAATGGTGTCCGGCAGCAGAGGTGGTCACCAGGCAGTCCAACGAGTGTTTTGCAAATGGATAATTCCTCTTTTGCAACGCTCAGTGGGATAGGGGATCGTGAGGTATGCCAATTGCAAGTAGCTCCGGTTAAGGGTGATAGGAAGAGAGGGCATAAGCCCTCCTTCTCTCAATGAATATCCTATTTTGGAATGTGAGGGGGTTTAACAAACCCCCTAAGAGGAGGGATTCATGAAATCCCTCAGGAAGTATAAGGTGGATGTGGTTGCTGTGTTGGAGACAAGGGTTAGGAAGAAAAAGGTGGAAAAAGTACTGAAAAATTGTTTTGAAGGATGGGAGAGAAAGCTCAATTATGTAGATTCAGATTTTGGTAGGATTTGGCTTTTCTGGTCATCAGACATTAAATTACATGTCATCAAGAAGGGAAAAACTTTATGCATTATGTGGCTAAAGGGCAGAATGATGTTCCCATGTTTGTGACAGCAGTCTATGGATCCAATGATGAATTAGAAAGTCGTGGTACTTATGCTGAAATGAGTAGATTCCAGGTGATATATAGACCTTGGATAGTAGGGGGAGATTTCAACACAGTGGTTCACCCTATGGAGACATCTAATCTACTTTCAAAGTCGTCTAGTATGGTGGATTTTGAGCACTAGTTGAATGATATGGAACTAATGGACTACAGAACAACGGGGCCGTGGTTCACATGGGCTAATAATCAGGTAGAAAATCCTATAGCTAGACGACTGGATAGAGCTATGGTGAACATTGAGTGGGTAGAAAGTTTTCCGGACTGTACAATGGAAGCTGTAGTGGCACCTTTCTCGGATCACTGCGGCATCCTAGTTGCTTCAACTCCCTTGATCA